AAGGTTTTTCTTAAAAAAGGATGAATTTACACTGTTTTTTTTCCCCCAATCTTATCTGTCTCCCCTCCACACAAATGTATTTGTTCTCTTTTTACTAAGGATATAGTCAAGTGGCAATTTGAGAAAATATCATCTCAAGCTCCCAACTGCCTACACCACAGACAAAAATAAATGTGTAACTAGAATGTGATGTATAATACATGCAGTCCAGAGAGCAGAAACATATCTGGGTTTCTCCAAATCTGTGAGAAGGAGTAGAAGAAAGAAACCCAAGTGACTTTGTGTAACTGAGTACATGACACTCATTTAGGCAAAAAGCACGTTGGGTGGTATGATTATCTCCTGGTGTTCTGAATGGTACAATTTGGGAGATTTGTCAGTGCACAGGTCCTGCATCAGAGGGTCCTTCAGCCCTACACAACAACACTGGCACTGCCTCCTAAACAAATTTTCTTTCAAACAGTAAGTTGTCTAGGAGGAGGAAGAGAGCAACATTTTTTACTCGTGTATCATTTAAATTTTTTTATTTTTTTTTTTTTTTAATTTTACCCTATTTTAAGGTTGATGCCTTTATGTTGCAACAGACTTTTTTCCAGGTACTTCCTAGCTCTGGGTTTGTTTTGAACTGCCCTCTTGAATGACACTAAGTGTACTGTTCTCCCACTCTTATCTTCACACCTTCTTATATGGTGTTCCTTATGCTTAGAAATCCTTATTCTACATGCCAAATATCCTCCCACTCCATATTCACATTCTTCCTTTAAACTGCATTTCCTTAAACTCTACAAAAAATAATCAGAAACTTAAGAAATATAGCAACTATGCCTTGAGATCTGACAGTCTTTTTTATCATCAGATTTGCTACTGTTGGCTGAATTCTTTAATTTATGCATAATACTGAATAAATCAGGGATTTATTTTTCCTTAATATCACATGTACCATCTTTTTCACTATTTATTTATTTATTTAATTAATTTTATTGTAAAATACTCCAAAGTTCATCCCAACTAGAGGCCACCTGGCTGAGCAGTGCTTCTTGTTGTCTTCTTGCTTTTCCAGCTGAAAGCCCACTGATGAGGAAAGAAACAAACAAATGAAGTCAGTAACACATCCTTCTCATAAGAGAGTCCAGTATCTTAGGTTCAGACTTAACCAGATAAAATTACCGTTTTGGAGCTCTGTCTCAAGAATATTTGTTCAAAGAAAAGTCCCAGAATGAATAAAACTATAAATGAACCAGAACATTTTTTTTTTTCCTGAACTTGTATGCAATTATTAAAACCATTTCTTTTGACAGGGAGGCTGTGCTGCTTATAACCTCATTTCCTTATGTTCTTTTGAGTGCTAAATAAAAAAAACCCTGAAAATGAAAAAATGTGCATCCAAACCAGAGTAATTTATAAAAGCTTGATTCATGCAATATTAACTGCTAGTTGCCTCTAAAAAAATAGTGGAATTAAGAAGTTTTTAGGCTATCTAAAATAGGATTACCTTAAAAGAAATACTTTTTTTTAAAAAATCTGGGTCTACTAGTCTAAAAAGGTACTCAGTGTACTGCTTCTCAGTGTTTCTAAAATATGTACATTCTTCATATGTTTGCTGATTGTCTGCAGCATAAAATTCAGCCTGGAATTCTTGCAAGCCAAAAAAAGTCATTGTAAGCCACTCCTCCAGAGGCTTAGCTGCAAGAGAAGTAAATCTAAACACTGACTGCTAACAAAACAGAAACTGTAAAAACATTGCTAAAACAAATGGAGCTGACATTTTACAGAAAGAAAAGTGCTGTTTCCAGACACAGTTACAATCTTTTAATAAGTCTTAAATTTCCATTAATCTATGTTAAAATGATTGCCTGTGTGTAAAATCAGGTCCAATTGCTTTTTCTCTTAGTGTAACAAGGAAAAGCTAAAGCTGTTCCTAGAATGGATCCTCTAGGAATTAAGTACAGAAGTCCCAGAATACATTTTCCACTAAACCCTTTTGGAATTTTCAGATTTCTTTAAATTCTGATGTAAATTTTTGATACATAACCAAACCAAATGCCTTCTTGTAGGGGTTGGTCTTGTTGATGATGGAACAGCATCACCTTTTACCCTCAAACCTTCTGGTTTTCAGTCTCAACAGTGTCATAACTCCCCATTACTGGAGATATTCTCCCAGGATGCATGTCAGGCTGGACATGCATCAAAACATTTTACTTTCTGCCTGACCTAACTTTTCCTTTCTCTCATTCAAGCAGATTATTGAAAACCATCCAGTTTTATGTGTTCGTGAGCTATGAGGAAAACAGGAAGCAGAAAAGGAGATTCTTTCCTGTCATGCTGCTCTGTAAATCAAGTAGCTTGTAGTTCTAAGGAAGTCTGTAACCACTGAGTTTGAGGGAAGTTTTTTAAAAATTGCGTTTTCCTTCAGCTTTTGCTGGTTTCTTCCTTTAAAATATTTTTGTGACAGAATTATTCACATTTATCCCTTGTTTCTGAGGTTTCAGCCTGGAAGAGTTGTGGTTGTCAAGAAGTATTATTTAAGTCACTCAGGAATATCATTACTCAGGAATTAATCTCTGAATGAGAACAGATCCTTTGAATTCACACAATGGTTGCATATACACTTTGCATTCTCCAGTGGAGTTATTCACTACCCTAAAAACAGAAACACCACTTTGTCTTCCAAGTTTTACCTTGTGCAGTTGTATGGATGTTAGTGTGGGTGGAACTCAAATCATTAAGGTTATCACAGAGGTGCCTTATATTAGTCCTGGGGCTATGACTCTGTGGTTTGCTAAATTGGCTAAAGCAGGATCTTAATATCTTGCAAACTTGAGTATTTAACATGAAAAACCACTCTTTTGTCATAAAAATGAGATGCAGTAGGAAACTACTAGTCAATTTTTTCCCTGTGTTGCAGACAATAAAGAAAATATCTTCCAGTTTCCATGTAGGATCTTTTATCACAAAGGGCAAGAATGCACATGAGTCAGCTTCAGTTGTGGGATTTTTTTCCTTTTCCCAGTGAATGTTCCTATTATACAAAGATCTTGGAGTCCTAACGCAAAATTTTAAAGTGTTTCTATTAAGATATTCTGGATCTGTTTTTAGAGTGCTTGTTTGTTTTGTTGGGTTTTTAAAATTTTAGGGGCTCGTTAATGTATGCCAACAAACTGTGTATCCTAAGCTATAATCATGTTTTGTCTTTGAAAACAATTTTGTGGTACAAATATAAGAAAAACAGCCTGTTCTGCTCAGACTTTGCTTGAAAGAAGTTCACTAGGTCTTAAGTACTTCAAAGCTGCAAAACCTAATTCAAAATGTTACATGAATTCCATACATTTTTACAGCTATACAAAAAGTGCAAAAAGGTACCTTATTAATACAGTAACATTTTACAACCACTTTACAGGGCAACAAAGAAAAAAGTTACAAAAATCTACTCAGAATTGTGCAGTTCAGCTGCACCCATGAGCAAGCAACTCCTGTTGTTGACAAGTTAGACTCAACCACACACAGCATGAGGTCAAGAAATATTAATAAAATGCTTTCTTAACTATTTATTTCTGCACTTTTTGATGTCCTCTTGTTGAGACATGACAGAGGATTTGGGATCAGGTGCCCAGCTATCAGTGGAGATGAAGTAAAGCACCTTTCTCTGAGCCTTCACTGACACAGACCCAGCCGTGACTCAGCCAGGGGAAGTTAACTGATTATACTTAACTTTCTCTACTATGGTAAAATAAGTTGCAGAGAGAACACACTGAAAGCCAAGGGCCTCTAAATACTTTTCCCTTTTATGGAATAGAGCTTCCAGATCTCTATTTCCTGGAGATTGTACTCTAAGCCTACACAGTGGTAAAAGAAAGTTCTCTGCATTCACTGATCTGTATCTGACTACAAATTTGAGCTCAGGGGATAATTTTTTTCCTAACTATTTTAAGCAGTAAGTTTATAATAACAGACCAAAACATTAAAAAGCACTCCATCCTCTCTTATTTCTTTTTTCTTTTCTTTATATTGTCTCCTCTTAGTGTGGGAATGAGCAGAATTTGGTGAATTAGATAGGTAATTTGTTTGTGTTTTTTTAATTAATTTTGTAGGTGCACAAGGCTCGTGCATACTGAGATTGTAGATCTTCACCCACATCCTCTCTGCCTGTGACATGTGAGTTAATCTCTACAAGTATTTAATTTTAAAATATAATTATGAAGCTCTTACCACTTCTGAAAGAATGGAGCTTTGGGGGCGATAATTTACTCTGATAAAACACCATAATAATGTAATGACATTCTGTGATAAGATAGAGACAAGCCAGACAGAGCTTGATCAATGAAATTAAAAAAAAAAATAACAGGATCTTGAAATTATCTCAAGGGCCTTGGTTGCTAATATGTGCTCATGCTCCTTGACTGTTTTTAAAGTGCAGGTGCATTTTTCATCTCCCTTTTCAGTGTCTTCAGGGCCAATACAGGTGTTCCAGTTGGTACCTCACTGTATTGCACGTATTATTAACATATAATTTCCTTTTTTGATGGAGATGTGTGGAAAGGAAGCAAAGCTAGCAAAGCTATTGGTAGTATGATTCTAAAGGCTGTTCAGCTGGCAGGTGAGCCAGGCTTAGAACCAGGCTAGTCATGTTCTCCACACTCTAGCTCAGGGTTCAGTAAGTCTGTCACTTGGTTTTGTAAATAGAGGTGGGAATTCCTGTAAGCTCCAAGACTGCAGTCTGCCCTAGTGCTCTGCTGAAAAACAAAAAATGTACCTTCCAGTGACATAAATTTTCCAAGGATATTTATTTATTTTCAATCTACATTTTTGAGATGCAGATAAGCATCTTAATTCTTGTAGAGAATTGCTCTAATTCTTGTATAGTGTTCTCATAAAGCCCCCTATTTCTATACATTTTGACTCCATGTGATATTTTCTGGGGCTGTTTTCATTGCCCAGCTAAAGGGGCTTAAGGTCACTTCATCAGTGATGGAAGAACATTTATTCACTAGTATTTAAGTTTCCATAATTTCTAAACCTTTGCCTTTCCTACCAGTACCAGAAGGCAGTAATTGATCAGAAAATGGCAGAACTCCTTGCAGAGCACGGTATATCCATTTGCATTTACATTATATGATATTTGTGCTGGGTAAGCATCATAAAGTCTCAAAAAAAATCTGGGCTACTGACTCTAAGAACACTGCACAGGTTAAAACTAAGCCTTTAGACTGAAAGTTAATACATTTGAAGTTCTAAATCATGTAGTTTATTAATTGAACTACATCCTTATACTGACATACTAATATGCAGTACCCCTCACTCTGGCAGTGTAGTGGACTGCAGCAATGCTGTCAAGGTGTGCAGAGATGGTGTTTGATTTAAGAAGCCTAAGAATATGAATAATTATGTGCAAGCTTTCACTGCTCCAATATAGTCCTCAGCACTGGGGTTTTCTGGAGTGGTATTAGGAAAAAACAGAAAGTCAGAAGAAGAAATTTTCCTGCTGATCAGCACAGAGATTTGAAGCTTATTCCTATTTGCAAGACAGCTGTGTAAGTAAATCAGAGTAGGGTTCTAATTGTGTCGGAGACAGCCTGAACTTGGTCCACTCCAAATCTGAGGGTTGTTAAGGTGGCATAAATTCATATTTCTACCCTCCATTTTTCCCTTGGCTGTACTTTCTGTGCTTCATCTCTAGGACAACACAGCTTGGGATTTGTCCCTTTCTATTCTTAGACAAGCCTGTCTGAATTATTTCTTTTTCTTTTAAAGTTTTTTTGTTTTTTGAATCTGAAAATTGAACTGAAAGTTGATGTGCTTAATAGCTCTTTCTTGTTTAAGATAAGTTGCATTACTTTTTAAGTTTAGTATGTGCTAAGAACTTCGCTAAGACTGGGAATAAACCACTTTGGTGCAATAGCTTCTACAATTCCATGTAGGACTGCAAACATGCCTTGGCCATGACTTGAAACATTCCTGATTTTTCAGACCCAGCATTGGGTTGAATGTATCAGAACCATAATAAATTCATGAGGCAAACACTAAGAGGGATTACATAAACAGCCAAATTTACATTTTCTCTCTCTCTTTTTTTTTTTTTTTTTTTTTTTTTTTTTTTTTTTTTTTTTTTGTAAATTTGAAATTGAAATTGTGTAGGATGCCATGAATTTGTTACAGAGATGAAAAGCAAGTCTGTGTAAAGGTAAAAGGTAACTTTTGTTTAGTTACCTTGCTTCCATCTCAGCTTTGTGTGTTGCTAATAATTGGTGACTGGGTTTGATACAAAAAAACTTAATTGTTGAAACACACAGATGTTCAGTGCTACGACTATCTGTCTAACCTGTGGATCTATTAAAATATACATAATCATAAACATGTCTTTTCCATCCTATTAGGGACTTTAATTGTTTTGCCTTAATAACAATTTTTAAAGATTTTATTCATAGAAAGTTTCCTCTACTCTTGTTTGAAGTTAGAGGTGGCTAAATACATGATACAAGCATGAACTACCACTTTTGTAGAGTTAGAAAAACACCTGTGACAGGTACAACATGTCTAGAAAAGCTCAAAACATGCTGTCCCTACAGCATACACTGCTGTGAAAAATCTTTATGCCCACTGTTCAAAAGAGTCTGCATCTTGGTCTTCATAATGATGTCACATGTGCTGCATCTTTTTCAGAGTTATTATCAAGGAACTGCAATGATATAATTACTTCTTCCTGAACACAATACTTGGGTAGGATCACTTTTACAATCTATTTGTTCTGCATTAAAGTTCATGTGAGATGGCCTTGTATTCCTCTTCTGAAGTGAAAGAGAAAATAAAGTTTCCAACATAATGTGAAATAAACCTAATAGAAACATGATCTTAGCTGCTTCTGTAGTCCAAAGCTTTCACACATTCTGTAGATTTTGCAAAACAGATTTTCTTCTGTGAGAGCTGAGGTGAGGTACTTGTCACTACTGAGACTGCTTCAGTGTTTCTTGTGAATGATTTAGTCTCTTTTTGCTTTTATTTTAAAGCAACAGATGTATTTTGACAAATGCAATTGGCAACCTCAATAAACCAGCATGTTCCTGAATGCATTTCTTTGCCCATCTCTGAAATGGAAGGGAAGACTGTAGCAGGTTAATTTACAATGCAGTAGTCATTAGTTCCTAGTGGAGACACCAGGGTGGGTCTCAGCTGTGTGTGTGACCTGCAGGCACCGCCAGGGAGTGCAGTGATATATTGATGAGGACTCAGATTTACTAATGAGCACACTGATGTATTGATGAGGACAGCTCCCTGATTCCTGGGCAGGTGTCACAATAAGTATTGCAAGCCATCCACTGCCACTCTAAAAACTGATTTGTGCTTTGCCCTGCTGATCCTCCGACTTTGGTATAGGCTTTCTACTGATGTTATCCTTGTGAATGCAGTGTCTTCCCTTAATACTAATAATGAGAATTTTCTCAGCTAATAACTAGTGATATTTTTTTCCCCCCTCTTCGGGCATTTCTGCTATTTTGCTTCAGAAATATCTTGCACATTGCTGTCTTGGGCAGAGGTACACCAAGTCTTTGCACAATTCACCTTGCTCAAAGGAGAAGTGCCACCCTCTAGGGTTCCTGTTTTGGTCCTCTGAGATTTGAGAGCATGCTCTGTAGCATTTAGGCTATTAGTTACTAAAAGGCATATTATAGAAGAGATGACTGAGAAGGGACCCTAGCAATGTCTATCAGTATCTGAAGGGAGATGTCAGAGGATGGATCCAGACTCTGGCTGGTGGTGCTGAGCAATAGGACAAGAGGCAAGGGCAGAAACTGATGCACAGGAAGTTCCATGTGAACATGAGGAGAAATGTTTTCGCTGTGCAGGTGATTGGGCACTGGAACAGATAGTCCAGGAAGGGTGTGGAGTCCCCCTCACCAGAGATACTCAAGAACTTTCTGGATGCCATTCTGTTCCATGTGCTCTGGGATGACTTGGCTTGAGCAGGGAGGTTGGACCAGATGACCACCTGTGGTCCCTTCTAACCTGGAACCATTCTGCTTTTCTGTGATATCCAGGATGCTGTTTACTTCTTAGAGGATATTTAGAGAAGGTAGTTTCGTCACATCATAGTGACAAAATGAAAATTGTAAAATGGAGGAAAGAGATGGAAATAGCACCAAGAACGGAAGGTTGTCTATTTTGAATGCATTTGCTAAGTTACACTTGACTTTGAAAGCTTTAGTTAATAAAACACAAGATAGCATTTTTAATTTTAAACCTTAATACTGTTTGTTATTGTAAAGTGATCTCAGTTTTTGAGCATAGTGTTTTAAATGGATGTGATTTGTATTTTTGGCATCTAACCCAGCCTGCAGATCACGAGGCCTCCCAGCGCTTATGCCTTCAGGCTAACTTGAAACAGATACTGCCAGCAGTGCATGGTCCTCTTAGTCCACATTGCAGCTCCACGTGCTTCACACTGCCCACCATGCCAACCTTACCTGAAGAGAAGGGACAAGCAAAAGAGGCCCAGCACAACAGTTCTCCTCCAGCCAAAGTAAGCTCTCATACTTACAAAGGTGTTTTCTGACACTTGCTGGAAACCTGAGGCTGAAACCTGTTTGTGTGTATTTAGGGTTTGTAAAATCAAATCTATTTGTTGCTCTGTATTAGGGTGCTTTGCTTAATTGATGAAGCTATGAATGATCCTTCAGTTGAAATCCTTACAGTTCCTCAAATATTTTGTAGCCTGAGGGATGAGAACTTAAATTTCTCAAGCAGTTGTTTATCATTTTGATCTGGAGACTTACAAATGGTTCAGAACAGGCAGATATATATCAAAGCTGTCCTAAACTGTCCTTTCTGATGTTACAAAAGAAAACTTGAAAGTTTGAGAACAGAACTTAGGCTTGAACTTCAACAACTAGTGATGTTTTTACAGATATAGAGGATGTTATGTAACTCATGTGTGTGAAAGATGGAAATGGGCTTTTTTGGTTGGAAGTCTTTCTCAGTGCTTTATTTGCCAGAGCAGTAGCTGAATATGCTCTGGAGCTATACATGTGTGTGTTTACATATCTATCTATCTATCTATCTATCTATCTATCTGGCAGGTGGGTGCTCCCCAGGCATATTCATTAGTTTGGTTCAAATTTGTGTGGCATCTACATTTTTCCTTTACTGATAAATATAAAAAATCAATAACAGATGGGTCTTCTCCCTTCTCAGTAATCTATACCAAATAAAAAGTTAAAAAAAAAAAAGTAGCTTTATGTTTTAATGAACTGGGGTTGGATTTTTTTTTTTTAGTTGCTAGCTTAGCTGAAGTAAAGAATCTTACTGTGATTAAGAAATCACAGGTTGACCAAATCATTCATTTTTATGCAAACTGGTATAAAGAAAGAGAGGGTTTGTAGTCTGGCACATCCTTAGTTAAAGATGTGACACTGTCATTGGGTTTGAGAACACTGCATTCCAGACTTTAGGTGAAAACCTCCGCTACTTTAACTTTGTAGGAAAATATTGTCAGCAGTGAGCTCTGCACTGATTTGTCCTGCCTTCCATCTAAACTGCACATGGTGCTGAGTGTTAATTTCCTGCCTTAAGATAACCACCCCAGCTGCATACAAGTTCAACAAGACTACCATCTGATAACATATATTAACTCAAGGTTTTATTGGGGTTTTTAAACTCACCTATGTGAAAAGTATTTTAGTATAAAAGACTTGCTGTATAAAATATACCCAAAAATGAAATACATGAAAATCTAGCAGACATCAGTGATTCTAATCCTGAATGTTCTTGTCAAATGTGAGAAATGAAAATTTCCAGCCTCCTAATATAAAGGCATTAAATGTGTGATACGTTTTCCAGGGCTTTTACATGTGGGTCTTAAATGAGCTAGGGTAATGTGATAGTTCATGAATCAGTTCACTATGCAAAATGCTTCATTTTAGATAAATTATTATTTTCAAGCACAAATTCATGGTAGAGGGATTTTAACCAATGCACTGCACATAAGCCTACTTAAGGTTTGCCCCTAGCCAATGTTGTGAAAATTTGATCTTGTTCGTAGCTGTTTTCACTCTTGGCTCCTGCTGCAGGTCAAGTTCTACAGCATGACTGTAAGTCACTCTAAGTAAAACAGCTTATTATTGTGAGATAAGGACTTGCAAGCAAGGAGAGGGCAGCAGAAGGAACTAAAAGCTGTTGAATTTGTTTTCTAGCATTCAACAAAATTTTCCAAGTCTGGAATTTCATCCCATCTAAAGTGCTCTCTGGTGTCTTAACAACTTCCTCATTCTACTTCAGAAGATTCTTCCCCACCTTTTCCCTGCATGCCCAAATGCACACAGATTGTAAAACAGTTCTGACAAAAAGAAAATTAACATTACATCACTTGTAGCTTTCTGCATGCTTCAAGTATGATTATGTTTTTACATGATGGGAAGACCTGGGTTCTATGTCTCAAATTAATTTTGATAAAACAAATGTGGGTTTTAATTTCAGTATTTCTTAGAGCAACCTCTGTTTTTCCAAAGTTCAGTCCAGACTTCTAATTAATATTGAAGAATATGGCCAGGTGGAAGAGGGCTTTCTTTTTCCTGTTTAATTTGTTTTCTCCAGTGCTTTAAAGAATTCAGGTGTTATACAGTAAAGGTCTGTTATTTGACTGTCTGGCATGGTAGGTTTTTCAGCAGACTAACTTTGTATTCCTTTTCCCAATAACATCCCATTAATGTAAAAATCATCTGGATTTGTCTGTATTATAAAAAATTTCAAAAGCACATTCTCTGTATGCTTAGTGAGGTCCTGGTGGAACTTAACAGCCAGAATGTCTGGAGGTTCTGCCTCCACCCTGTGAATCCCTGTTCATTTTTGGCTGTTCTGTTGTGGACCAAACTGCCTGTGCCACCCTCTCAGCCCCGCACATGCTTCCCTGCAAGACTGGATATCTCCTGGTCAGCCATGTGGAGCAGTTCCCACCTGAGCCACAGAGGTGGAGTCAGTTTTTACCCTACATTTTTTGTGGGGGAGGGCTTGGGACAAAAAGGAAGCAAAGATTTGGGTATCAGGGAACTGTTGGAGATCAGGGAACTGTTGGAGATGAGGCAACTGTTGGGAATAGCTGAGGAGCAGACAGATCTGGAAGCTACCAAGGGAGCAGAGTCAAAGGCACACAAATGGGAGGATGATGGAAATCTTCTGTCTCATTTCTGTGCAGTTGTACAACTGTGAGGCAGCTTAAGCTTCCTGTTAAAGCTTCTCTTCCAAGGCCTGTGTCGAGCAGCCTGAGCACTCCACAGTCTGTAACAATTCCTTTTGATTGGAGCCAGCTGGCCCTGCAAAGAGCTTCCTGCTCTGGCTGTTCCTGCCTCTCTCCTGGACAATGTAGGTTTGGACAACGAGGGCCATGAGGTTTCACTTGTGCAGATGCTGAACTCCTATAGCTGCTGACCAGGATTAATGTTTTCTGCCTGACCTGAACTAGCTTTGGCTGCAGTCTCTTTTTTTTTCTTTCTTTTTTTTTTAATGAGCTGTTTTTAGAGTCCTAAAATGGGCTTGAGTGACTTCAAGGCTGATGTTACATCATTCAAAAGTTTTTGCATTTTGGCAGTCATGAGATTAGTATAAACACTGTGCATGTGTATTCAGCTGCTTTACCCTAAAAGCAGGAGAGTCACCTGAAGTTTTGTCATTGACAAAATTGTTACTTTTTAACATTTTGAAATGTTAATATTACTAAAAATTGCTTTCAAGCTATTGTCATAAAATGTCACTTGTGCATTTGAAACACATATGCTTTGGGGTTCCAACATTTTCAAAATTTCAAAGATATTTTTCCTAAATTTAAATTTTCACAGTGTTTTCTTGGCATGTTCCCCACCTGCTGTCCTGTGATTGACAAAGTGAACTTGCCAAGGAAGTTCATATGAGAATTATGAGTGTGGAGCTGCTTGAAAAAAAATTATTTTAGTAAAAAAAAGAATATGCTATTTACAGTAGAATCAAGAATCCTAAATCAGATGTCCAAATCACGGCATATTTCATTGCCTTTGAGAGGCAGAAGGGTTATGCTATGTATTTTAAAATTATACAATTTTCCAAGTACTTCTAGAATCCTTTGACTTGATCAGAAAATATGTTATTTCAGAAGGAATGAAGTACAGCAGTGGGAGAGATATTTCAAGGAGTTCTATGGAAAATGAGAAACATTAGCAGTTGAGTAAGAGTCAGCTTCCTTATGGAATAGAATAGAATGGTTTAGGATGGAAGGGACCTTAAAGGTCATCCAGATCCAACTGCCCTGTTTTAGGGACAGGGACACTTTCCACTAGACCAGGTTGCTCAGAGCTCCACCCAACCTGGCCTTGAACACTTCCAGAGTCTAAAACTGACTTGCTAAACTGTGACTTATTATATGCTTCATTCTATTAATGCCTAAATTAGTGCTATTGCAACTGCTTTTTCTTACCTGCCTTCCAAATTTCTTGTGAAGCTTTGGGATGTAGTTTCAAGAAAATTGTAGACTCCAAATAACAAAACACTCTTATATATCAGTGCCTAGCAGGAGCAATTAGGATTTGGGAATTTACAAATTATTCTTTAAATTTTACAAGTCACTTTAAAGTCCACTGCCACTGCTGGGAAGCTTTCCCTCCAGCTCTTTTCTGGTTTTCATCTGAACACAGTGCTTGGGGTAGAAGTAATCATTTTCTTACCACATATGAGACATCCACATTACTTTATGCCAATTTGATGTATCTCCATTTGTGATATCTCAGAGGAAATGGATTCCTTTTCTTCAGCTGAGAGGTATCATTATGCAGAAGGTGTGGCATTAAGTTCTTGAGGCAAAGTCTCATACTTATAAGCAGGCAAGCACATATTAATATTCAGTACCAGCTTGCCAGTTTCTTTTAGTGCTTAAAAATTATATTTTATTTTATTAAATATTGAAATAATATTTTTAAAATATAAGTTTCCAAGTAATTTGAGGGAAAACCATGTGGAGCTCTTAACAAGATAACTTTAAATTATTTTCTGGAGTTTTGGGTATCATGTGTACACTTAGCACTGTGTTTATTCAAGCTTTCATTATACGTTACTATCATTTGGAGGGTTTGTGTGCTTAATTTAGCCCTGTTATACAGAGCTGCTTTTCACTCTTGCATTCAACTTGTAAATTCACTGAACCTTTGGACATGTACTTCACTAGAGGAATGGTTTGCTGTGTAAGAAACACAGACTGTCTGCCTTTTTAAAGCTTTCTCTTTAGCTCCATGCTTATTGAATTTAGCTTGCACGCATTAAAACTTTTTAAAGAAAACAGATATTCCAGGTCTCCATCATCTCTTTTGAGTGATTTAAGTGTAGGCCTCTAATTCACATTTATTTTGTCAAATTACAGCTATTATCTCTTATTTCAGTTACTTTTTCTTGTAAGTAAATTGAGACACACACATTGTTTTCCACACAGAGAGTCAATGTTCAGTGGTTTGCATTTCTCTTTAACTACATTTTTATATTTGTCTCACAACATTCAGGACACGACTGTTGAAGGGACCACACGCAGCACACCTTCTATTGTTCTTCCAGAGAATGCCATTACGCCAGATGTAGAAATTGATAAAAATCTGGTTAACAGGTACTATGTAATACATTAACAATCCATCCATAAATTCCAGGGGCTGTGTTTCTAAAACATTGCTCTGAAATGTATGTTGTATGAAAATATTATTGCTGTATCTCTGTGACTTGGTCATATTGCCTTTGCATTTTGAGGGTGGTGTTTGGGATGTGGGGTGGAGGAACAGGAATATAATTGAGACTGAAAGAATAGTTACATGGAATACTGAGCCTGACAACCTCACTCTCTGAGCTGGACAACTTAAATTCTACTTTGAACAATGGGTTTTGAATGAGATTTGGGCCCGTTCACAAAGATGGGACAAGAATACCACCTAAAGGTTAAGCATATGTGAAAGTAAGGCATTGAATAGAAATAGTAATCCTGTTAGAAGCTGAAAACTCCAATTCAGTTTTGAGTTGAATAAATGTTATTATATTTATTCTGATAAAGCATACTTCCTAACCTGGGCTTTTTAATTTTATTGACCTGCCACTAAACTTAAAATACGGGGAAAAAACTTATCAGAAAATATATTTCACATATCTATAATTTGTTTGAATTTTTAAAAGTGTGCTTCTTCAAACTTCAAGATTAGTTTAGAGTCAGAATTTATATGCAGCCCTTCAAAAGCAGAATTATTTGCAGGATCAGCATTTAGATTTCTGCAGTTGTTTGAGGTTTTTACTTGGTTTGCAGTTTAGAAACATCCTATGGAAGAGTCAATGTGGGAGCCTAAGGAATTATTTTAGCCATAAAATTTAGTTTAAGAAACAGTAACAATTCAGAAAGACTAAGGTCTTTTTGGTTTGGTGGTGGTGGGGTTTTTTGTTTGTTCGTTTTTGGGGTTTTTTTTTGCTATATACTATTTAACATGATTTTTAAGTCATGGTAATAATCTAAAGAAATGTAAGTTTTTTTCTGAGAAATCAGGGTCACAGAGGATGAGATTAATAGCAAATTTTAGAACTCCTTTGTCAGATCAGTTTCTGCAATTTTCCTTCTTTTTGCAATCTCCTCTATTTTCTAGTTGTTTGAAGATGAGAGGAACTGCAATAAATGCTTTTTTGTCTTTATTTTTTAATCAAAGGGCTTTCTTTTTAATATTAATTTTTAATAGCCAATTAGGACCTTTTTTTGGTGCCATAATCCATAATTTTTGTTTGTTCACTTTTCTCTCTAGGCCTCGGAGTCCTCATAGGAGACATTCTAACCGTGCCACCAGAAATTCAACAAGTTCATTGACTTCTGTTGGTAAGAAGTGATTATTCATTTCAATTAAGATGTATTCTCAGAAAATGTGCCGTGCAATAAAAACCCTATGTAGAGAATCTACATAGGGACTGTATTGACCACAGGTTTTTTTTCTCTGTGCCTTGCTGTGTAATGCATGCACAGGGAATACTGCTGAAATGTTGAATTGTCATCATGAGTTTGTAAGTGGACTGCATGCACACCAATTCAGGGAAATACACACAACTTCAGAAAGCTGTTAATTGATGCATTGACTCAACATTTTCAGAAGGCTCAATGTATACATGCTTTATTTCTTGTAGAATATGAAATACTGGTTTTGCTACACTTGAGCTTCTCTTTTGCTGGCACAGGGAAAGTGTCATGGGAGGTCTGTCTCAAACTTCCAACACACAAATCTGAATTTAAACCAAAACAGATATTTCACTGAAAACAGATTGCTTTAGAATATTCGATTTGTAAGTATGGTTTGTGACATCCTTGAAACTGAACTAAATTTAAGGAAATTAAAGCCAAAGGACTTCTCCCTCCCCCCCAAAAGAATCAATCAAAAACCAATAATGAAATAACTCCACGCCCACAAACCAAAAACCCTTGAGTTTTTGCTGCTTGCTTACATCCTTAGCTTTTCTGAAAACTGATGGTTCTGTAATGGCTCTTGTCAAATTTTAAAATATTTTTCTCATACTACCTGATGACTTCCCTCCCCCTCATTCAAGCTGTTCTTTAGCTGCTCAAAGAAGCCATTTATACTGACTCACACAGAAAGGGCCTTTCTGACAACTGCCTGCTTTCTTTGCTTCATCATAGGCTGGAGAACTGTAAAAATTGATGCTCAAAGTTTAGTGTTTTCAATCAATTTAAATGCCACAGACTCTTGAAGTGTTGAATTAATTGCTAAAACTATTGTGCATAATTCTTTGCTGGGTGAGTTTGTGGGTTCTAAGCCTTGAAAAACTGAACATGAAAATTCCAAGAAAACGTCAGTCTACAACAGAAATGCCATCACTGTTAGTTGTGATGGATCTAATGGCACTTTTATTTAGAAATGAGAAAACCTGTGCTGGAGACACAGCTGGAAAAGCCAGTTTAATATATTCAGAGAATTTTAGGTGACAGTGAATTAATCTTAGTGGGTTACCTGTGGTTTTGAGGACTTGCTCTAAACTTGAGATTGTAACAACATTAGAAATAAGCAGACATTAATTTAAATAAATTTACAAGTTTATTTTGAACTTGTTTCTCTCACATGGCACAATATACCTGGAAATGGAAGGTCCAGCTCTAATTCTGATATTTCCTACACAGACAATAATGGTCATGTGATTGATCTGGTGAATGATCCACTACCAGATGTCAAAATATCAGAGGAAGACAAAAAGAAGAACCTCGAATTGTTAGAAGAAGCAAAGAAAGTGAGTGAGAGGTTCTTAGCACGCCGAGGCAGAAAGTCAAGAAGCAGCCTCCCAGAATCACCCACAGGTAGGGGCAGATCCTGAAAACCAGATTTTGTATTCTCCTTCAAACATCTGTAAAGGCAAACATCTGCTGTAGTCTATACATTGCTGCTGTTTACATGGACTTGGTTAATTTAAAGGTCAGGATCCCTCTTGTCCTCCACAAGGTTCCAAATGAAACAGAAACGACCCATCCATGTACTGAGATGTGTCAGGGTAAAATGGTGCAAAGTTACACTGCAAACAGTGTGACATGAAGGCATGAAGTATTTCTATTGAAAAGTGAAAAATGCTCACAAATTGTTGTTTAAATGAAATTTTAGTGGCTAGATTCATCCTGCTGAAAAAACATTCCCTCCAGACACCATCACATTGCCTCTTATTCTGAACCTGGCCATAAACTAAGCTAAATGGACCAGATCCTCCTTTAAAAACAGCAGAATAAAATGTTTTGTTCTAGAATGTCAATTGAAGTTATTTTTCCTTTTATATGAAGTGTTTGAAAACTGGAACAAATGCCTTTTTACCATGAAATGGGACTTTCATTTTGCTTTGAAATGCCAGTTCAAACAATGTTCTGCTTACAATTGGCCTGACACTTTCTGGAGGGGAAAAAATGCTCAAAACTATACATCACCTCTTTTTTGTCCTAAATTCCTCACAAATCTTCTCTTGTGCTGCGTCTCCTCAGTGCTTACTGTATCAGAAAACTGAGGAGAACAAGAATTCCCTGTATCAATAAAAATTTATCAATTTTTGACAATTATAAGACATGAAACATAGTCTAAACTCCTAATTGCCAAGTATAACCTGACAATTAAAATGACTTGTCAGGTTCTGGAAAAACACATGACTGATGATGATGATGATATTGATATTTTAATCTCATCTGAATTCTAAAAATACAGACGGTACAAGCCTAGAAAGTAAAATCACCTTTTTGTTTTGTTTTTGTTGTAATGAAGCACTTCCCCCTGCTCTTAGTCCTAAAGTTTCACCCATAGCATCTGAGAGCAACTCTCTCATTCTTCCACTTGCATCAGGTAAAATGATTGTGAATCATTAAGGGAGGAAAATATCTCTAAAATCATCAAATCCAACCATTTGCAGGCTCAAAATTTAATTTATAAAAGCTCACAAAAAATAAATTCATTTAGTATTTCTTGAGAAGAGTAAATTTAAACATCTAGTCCGGAATTTGATAAGGGTCTTGAATACATACAAAATATATTTTTGCATATAGATATTTTTATTATATTTTTTTATTCCTGTGGCGTTGCAAATCCATATGCTCTATTTTTAAAACTTTATCAATAACAGAGTTTTGAGAAGCCTAAATGATGTTTCACTTGCTATGTGTTTGATTTTTTTTTCCTTTTTCATACTATTTTTGACATTTGAATTTTTGTCCTTAATTTATTATGGGAAACTGTGCACATATGTGTTTGTTAATGCTTTAGTAATAAAAATTTTGAGCAAAATATCAGGACATGCCCTAATTATGTGTGTATCTTTCAGGGTCTGATGCATGCACAACCACTAGTATTGATTCAGTATCTCCAGGGCAGGTAAGAGCTGAATAGTCTGTGCAATAACCTGGTTATTACAGTACTATATTATAATATGCTGCCCTTTTAGTCCTTGATAAAAATTGTATGTTTGGAATACCATTTTATATACTAAAATTGGATTACTGGTATTTTCTCTGTGCAGCAAGGAATGAGTAAATATTTACTCTGGAGACAGAAATCCATGAAGTAACAGGAACTGAAAGATCATAAAGATCTGTTGAGTGCAGAAAATAGAAAAAGATCCAATATAACTCTAATCTAGGAAAAAATGAATCCCTATTGTTATTTCATATATAAATACAACAAGCAATGTAAAAATTAAGAAATTCAAAGTTCAGCCATTAATATCTATATCTAATGTTTGTAGCATAGGTGTGAAAAATAACTTTGTAAGGCAGATTTTTTTTGTCCTTTTTTTGCTAGAATAACAGAATTGTGAAAGAAGATGACAGGCAAACTGCAGAGGTAAGTGTTTCACATTAAGAGCTGAACAAAGTCTGCTGGTTTGTCTTAGCACACATATGACTTATTGATGGGACTAAAAATGCTGAAAGATTGTTCACTGAGTGAAAAGAAAATGACACTGCTCTAAGAAATGATGAAGCACCTGCAAAAGAAGTAGAGGACAGTAGGCTTACCACTAGATCTTTCATCCTATTATGCCCCCTGTTCTAGCTCAATTAAAATAAGTATACTAAATAACTTTATAAGTAAAGTAAAAATACCTACTATAGCCATTTTGGTGTATGTTAGTGGTTTAGACTTTCCATGACACAGAAATGATGAGGAGCTTGGCTTTAGGAGGATTGCTATAATGGGCAATGGAATGGGAGAGGTTAACTCAAAAGTTCAGAGGAGATTCCCAATTCAGTATTCTTTAAGTGCCTGTAAAAAATTATTTCTTTTGTCCACAGCACATATTCAAAAGCAAGTGTCACTGAAAAGGAAATGGCTTTTTACAGTGAAAGTCTGTCCTTGGGCAGGGGAAAAGAGGAATCTGGACTTGTTTCTCTGTTTCATGTGTGTCCCTGTACTTTCAGAATGCTGCAAAAGGATTAATTGATCGAAAGCAGAATGATCAAAGAAAGATTTCTCAGGGAAGGTTGGTTCCTCGTTCTGCTGGTTTTGAAAACTCCAAAGACAAGCTCTCAGACCAAAAGGAAAACTTTGATCCACGTAAACATATGGATACTTTACCTAAATTCTCCCCTACAGCTGGTGATGGTGGCAGAATGTCTCTTAATACTTGCATGAATGTTTGTGAAAATGAACTTGGAAAATCATTTCTCCAGAAAGGGAAAGAAAATGATGCTCCTTTAAGAACCCATCTACCAGGATCAGGAATAGGAAATATGGACTCAAAGCTAAAAATTCCTGTTCCAGAAATGAGGGACCATAAAGTTCCATGTAAACCAGAATTTAAACTGTGTGGACTGCGTCCTCCTCTATTACGAGCTGTGTCCTGGGATAGCTTGGAGCCCGGACAGAAAGAGAAATCCCCTTTAAAATTACCATCTGAGGAAGATAAAAACTTTGTTGGTAATAAATCCAGCAATCAGTTAAAAGCATTCAAAGACCTTCAAATCCAAGTTCAGCCAGTTCGAATGCAGAAGCTGACAAAGCTCAGAGAGGTAAGTCCTGTCATCAGCTGTATCCTGTTTTAAAAAGTCATTTTCATACCCTACTAAACTTACAGCATGTTTAGCATTGTTTTTATCACTGCAAGAAACATACAGTGATAAAATGGGAAACAATTTCAGCATAATCAATACACAGTTGTATCATGTTTTTCCTTTCAACTTTACTAAACTCTAACCTGTAAGTAAATTCCATGGGATTTCTCTATTTCTTAGTTCTCTTCAAATATGCATCAAGTGCACTCTGGTACTTCAATGCGTACACATGCATGTGCATGTGCTCTTGCATGTTTACATTTGTAAGGTCTCAGAGGACAGGAAATGGGTTTGTAATGATTAATTGATTATTGAACCTTCTCAGAAAATGTCTCAAAGTGTTTAGAGCTGTAAAACTGGGCATCTCTGACAGCAAGGGGAGGTAGAGCATGCCCAGACTTACAGCTCCTAATTAAAACATACTGCAAATTTGTCAGGTTCTGAATGAATAGACTTGGGCTGCAATATAATCAATCTATTGTTAAATAATTTTCTAAAGTATTGATAAAAGTTAAGAATTAAACCCTAAGAAAAAAAGCAGAAATTCCATGAAATGATAAACCACCAAAAGAAGGCAATGAACATGTCTCTATTATTAATAATAGCTTTTGAAAAACAAAAAAAAGAAGTAGCAGGTACTTTCCTGAACAGCCTAATAAGGGTATTTCCCTTGACCTCCAGTAGTTATTATTTTAAGATGAATACAAGGCTGACAGGCAAAGACCTCAAATTCTGCACTTTGGTTAATTAATTCCCATCGTATTGTTTGGGAATGGCAGCTTCATTATTCATCTTTTCCTGTTGCTATAACACACATATTCTTTATGTGTATGTACTGGAAGTTTTGGCTATAGGGACTCTTGAGCCACACAATTACAGGAGAAATTCTTCCCTGTGAGGGTGGTAGGGCACTGGAACAGGTTGCCCAGAGAAGTTGTGGATGCTCCATCCCTGGCTGTGTCCAAGGCCAGGTTGGATGTTGCTTGGGGAAATCTGGGATAGTGAAAAGTGTCTCTGCCCATGGCAGGGGGTTTGTAACCAGAGAATCTTTAAGGTCCCTTTCAACCCAAGCCATTCTATAATTCTTTAATTCTATCATTTTGAATGACCTAGAAGCTGTTAAGCGCAAATAAGAGAATCAAAAAATGATTGCAACATGATCTGTAATTCCAGTTAGGCAAGATTTGAGCATTCTTAGTGGATTTTGTCTCCAGTAGGAATTGTCCACTCATAAACAAAAGCAGGTGTTTGTGAATTTAAACATATGTGAGAATATGAAAGAAAATGAGGAGATAATAAAAGGAGAAATAATACAAGGTTTAATCCTTGAGAGTGCATTTTTTCCTACCTGTAAGGAGTAGAGGTAGAACCCAGTAACAGTGAAGCATCCCAAGCTCTGGTCTTAATAAAGTTATGAAGTCTCATATATAGGATTTTCTGAATTTCTTCTGTTATCTGGGATTCTTGGTTATTACTGTGGTTATATCCAAAATTGCTTTTTTCATTGTCGATTACTAAATCTCTTACTTATTAAAACTCGATATACCTATTTGAATAAGGGACACATTTTGCATCTTTGTTTGCATGACCAGGAATTTTTCTAAATAATGCCTGTATGAAATATGAAATATATAATATTTTGAAGTGTGTGTTTGTGAGTATCTCTGTTATGTTGCATCTGCCTGTAATGTACTGCGAATATCTCTATTATATTTATTAACTAAAGGAAATGTTATATTTAGTGTTAATGTGGCAGGGATACTTAAATTGAGATTTGTAGTTCAGATACTTAGAAATATTACTGTTTCTCTTTACAGGAGCATATTTTGATGAGAAATCAAAATTTAGTTGGACTTAAACTTCCTGAACTTAGTGAAGCAGCAGAACAGGAAAAAGGTGCAGTATCATAAAAATGGGAAGGAATGTTTCTTATACACTAATTTTTATAACTGACTATTATGAGGGGATGAGGAGAAAAAGTGAAAAAGTCTTTTACTTCAAGTGCAATAATAGCTGAAGCAGTCATGGAGAACTGTAATAAATAATGAGCAAGAGAGACCAATAATGGAAAGTACCTCGATTTCTTGTTGATTTGAACCAAGAAAATACTGTAGATATTATAACCAAGGGAAAAGATGTACAAGTGGTACAGAGTCTGGCTTGTACCTAATAGTTGTAGGACTGAAGTTTCAGTAACTTTCTGTAAAAACATTTCAGCAGTGATGGATTAAATGGATGTAACTTCTGCAAGATATTGTGGTCATAAGGGTGAATTTGATCCCTGACAATATAAATAAGAGATGAGATGCTTTATTCCTGCATTTTTATTTTAGTATATGCGTGGCAAGTATTAAAATGGCATTTTCACTTCTGGTCCACACTTCCATGTCAATGTGAATGAGAAAAAGTAAGGCCAGAGAAGAGTCATAAATGTGTTTGAAGGATTGGAAAAATATGCCTCACAATAAGTGGGATTTTTTAACCTCAATTTCTGTGATTTTTAATGAAAAATAAAGGACAAGACTTCTTTAAGGAAAAGGCTCAAACATCTACATAAATGAGGAAAAGGAAATCTAGCGCAAACAAAAAAGATTTGATGCCTGTAGCTGCATCTAAAAAAGGTTTAGAATAAAGAGCAAGTATATAAACCTGAGGATAATTCAACATGTGGAAGAATTAAACAGCAGTAGTGCTTAGCTAAAATACTTAAACTAAATATATCAATCTAAAATATTTTAACCAAAACTATATATTTATTTGGAAGCGGTTAATTCAAAACTTTCTCAGTGTGACATTAATTGAAATGGAGATGGTTACTATGAAAGGAGCTGAAGCCGATTGTCCAAGATTCAATCCAAAGACAATTTCAATTTTTTTAATACTATTCATTTTGCTGATTCCTACATTTGCACTGGGACTAGATCATCAGGCCTTAAAGTTCCTGTTACTGTGAGAGATCCTTGAGATACTACATTTCATGTTGTCTGGAAATGGACTCATCTTCAGATGAATGAATCAAGATTAAAAGAGCGTTCTTGTCCTCTATATTTAGTGATTATATCTTTGGATTGTTAGACATGATAATATTATTCCTGTCACTCTGCTAATGTATAATTTCCCAGAAAATTTTTAGCAGAATCTGTTTGAAAATATAAAATAGTTGATTTTACCAGCCTGCTATGTAATTTTGGCAGGTTTGGAAGTCTTGAGGAAAACATTATGAAAAGATAAGCATTATTTTATCCAGCTTCTCAATATGGATCTCATGAGCATCATGGGTTTTTTATATTCCAGTAAGTTATCTAAATGATAGCCAGAACATTAAGGGTCAACTCTTTGTTCTCATTGGGGAAAACAAGCACAGGGTCAAATGCTTTGTTAATTTGTTAGGGAGACCTACTTCCTTACATTGTCATAGAAGCCACCTTTTCAACTGGAGTGGTAATTTTGCTTAAACAATAGGAAATAGCCAGATACTTCATTATTACTGTTATGAGTCCAATGTATTGTCTCCATCATGGTTTTTATCAATGACAAGTTACTGTCACCGTCTGAGTAAACACAGCTCTGCATCTACACAAGTTTAGATAAGTGGAATGCATTAAATCTGGAGACAATGTGGTGTCAGGCTGGATTTTATGGGGACACATGTGACTGTTCTTAAGTAAACACTGGAATTTTTTAATACAAAGCAAATGCACAGAATTAAAATGTAGCATGGAAAGAATCTCCCATTCTGTTCTTTCATGTTAATGCTCTCCAGATTTACACACTAATTGCATGGCAAGTTTAAGAATCCTTCTGTTAAACTTATGAACAGCAGAACTGTTCAAAGATTCCTTCCCAAGTCTGAAATGCAGACTGGGGAATCTGCCTTTCCAACAGGAGAGTCCTTCATGAAATTCTGGTAAGACAGAAGGAGATAAGGGAAATAAGTGAAATTAAAGAAAGTGAAAAAGCAGAAGCTAAGTAACATGAATTTTAAAAAAGTGTAAGCCATGTCTTGGTTCTTATGAAAGTGACAGAATCAGAGAATGTAAGTGTAACCTTTATGTCCTGTTTCAATGAACATACAGTGAAAACAGTTACATGATGTAATTTATAACAATAAATGGTGTACAAAAGCTGTAGCGTGGTACATTACACTACACTTCATCTTAGCAGGTGACATTTAAAGCCTTAGAAAATGACAGTATTCTATTACAAAATCTCAGATAAAATATTCCAGAAAAGAATGCATGCCTTTTCAAGTAATATTACTTTTTTTAATCTGAAAATGTCTTCAGGCCCTTCACCTCTTCCTTCCCCTACTGAAGAGGAAGAGACAAAAAACAGCTCTGATGTCATGCCCAGCATTCCTGATGTATTGCTGCGAAAACTGCGAGTGCACAGATCACTTCCAGGAAGGTAAAAGCTCATTAGAAGTGGAAGCACATCATCCCAGAGAGGGCACACTAATGGTCTGAATTCACCTTCCCTTACAGAGTTCCATTCACAGGGAGATAAATTATTGCATCTTAAAATGTGCAACACAGATTTTCTGAAAAATTTTGGGGAATGCACCAGCTTCCAGTAACTGGCCAACTTTTAAAATTAGTTTGTGAGTTCTACATAAAAAGTCTTAAACCTTAATTGCATGCTACAAGTAGATTTTTATACAGATTTTTCCACTCCTGGTTTCCAGGATTGCTGCTGCAGATATTTCAATTTTTCATTTTGAAAGTATAATTTCTCACCCCCATGAAAATATTCAGGCCAGATGATGCTTTCCAATGGTAGAATTTGGGCATGTAAGAGTTCTGTGATTTTCCTGCAGGTGACAATTTTTCAGGCAAATGGAGCAAACCTACTGTGCAAACATAGATGAAAAACTCACTTGTGAATTCACTGATTTGGACTTTCCAAGACATTAAAACAATTCCAAACTTATTCAGCCAAAAATTATTCCTCCATTCACCCACATGGTTATGTACCAAAACCACCAGAGCCTTCCATTAGCGGAACTGTAAATAAAGATTCTCTGTGCAGGTGAAATAAATATTTAACATTTATGGTGAAGGAAATTTTATATACATGATTTTATATAAATGAATGCATGAGGTGAAGAACTTCTGAGAGACCATCACTTGATTGTAATCAATACTAAAATGTAGTGGAAAACTCTTGAAATTCAAACATGCATTTTGTTGTTCTTTTCAATTAAGTATTAGAATATCTTTGTTTTTAGAGATAAAACTCATTAAAATGTGATTTTTTTACTTCTAGCTCCCCACCACTCACTGAAAAAGAAGTTGAGGTAAGTATGTTATTATTTTAGACATACATTCCAATTCTAAGTGGTTACTTTAAGTCTAAGGGTGGTTATTAGAATGAGGTAATGGGATGATTTTTTCCCAAAATATATTTCTCATTAAAAAGAAACCATATTGGACTCCATCAAAATAACAATTTTGTGAAATATGAGCAATAGAAATTGTAAAATGACAGAGGAGGAATAAATAAAACATTTGTTTGTGTTTTTCATAATAAAATATGAATTCACTTTGGAAATAAGTTTAATATTCTAAAGTAGTAAAAAAAAAAGAGTTTAAATAAGAACAGAAACTAAGCAGTTTAAATTGCATTTTTATTATCCAATATGAGCTTTGGGGCATTTTTTAATAATATCCTGCTGTTTACATAATTTTTACTTTCTCAGTTCAAGACAATAATTTTGTTTTCAGGTTACTCATTAGCTTGTAGGTTTTGTTTCTTGTATTATTTTAATCACATACCAGTCCAGAAAAATATCTTTATTTACAATGCTGCAATCTACTGGAACTGTTGGAGCCTTGTGCTTTGCAAAGTATTAATCCTAAGAAATAATGAGTCTGGTAAAGAAAGAAACCATCTTTAAAAGCAGGGTGCAAGAGAATAAAAATGTTAGCACTTAATCTTTTGCTGGCTTCAGGGGTAGGTGTTTATCCCTTAGGTAAAACAATGCTCATGGTGAGCTCATCCCTGGACTTCCTCTGTACAGACTATCTGTTTAAAAACCTTGGGGACCCTTGGAGGAAGTCCAGCTAGAAAACAGATCCATTGTGATTCTGATGCTTCTGGTAGGCTGCTTCCTTCATTATGTCTCTGCCCTACAGAGCTCCCAGAAAAACATCCAGGAAAAGAGGCAGTAATGCATTTTTTATTCCTATTTCAGTGGTAGTAAATAGAAGTGATTTTTCAAAGAAAGCTAATTTAAAAATGCTTTCAATTTTCTGTTTCAAAACTTATTTAAGCAGCAAAGTTTGTTAATCACATACCTTAGTCATAAGTTGTTATTGAAAATTATATTACTGTGAGACTTATTGGAAAATGCCTTTTTAAATCCAAACAGAATGTATTTGTACAACTCTCCTTGGCCTTTAGAAATGATAGTTATACATTGGAATCTAGAATTCAGCAGGCAGAGAGAGAGAGAAATCTTACTGAAGAGAATGCTGAGAAGGAACTGGAAAACTTTAAAGCAGCCATTACGGTAAGAAAATAGTGGGAATTCTTTTCCTGACCTATAGTGTACATGAAAGTGCACATACATTGTAAATGTGTTTGATTTATAAATTCAGCCCCAAAACTTCATTTTCTGCTGCTCAAACTCCTTGCCATGAACTGCCTACTACTCTGAGAGGGCATATTCTGCCAGACTGGGCCAACATTGCTGGAAATATCTAGAGGATGCTTCCCTCGGTCTAGCAGATTTCAGGAATAAATACTAGGAATTTGCTGTTCAGTTCTTGAAATAAGCCTGTGACAGAGCTAAGAGCATCCAGAACTGTAGATTGAGCACTAATCCATGCTCTCCTGGGCAATACCTTCTTTAGCAGTAAATTTGAGGTGTCCAGATATGAGAGATACCAAAATCTCAGAATCCTGAGATCTGTATCTTGAAAGGCCTCTTAACTGCAGATACTAGAAGGCACAATATGTGAAAGGAAACAGCAAGGAATGCTTAAGGAATAGATACAATCTCAGGATGATCAGGTTTTGGGCCTGAGTACACTTTCATTCCAACTGTCCCTGGTGTTCCTTTTTAGCAGTAGTTTTGAGTCCTTCCTGCCAGCTTTCTCTGGGTTTTCCTACTGGAATGTCAAAATAGGTAAGATGTGCCAACTTAAGTGCTGTGAATGTCTTTGTGCATAAAGGGAGGGATGGTTAGACACCAGGCTGATAAATGAGATAGCCTTAGACTTGGCATTCATTATTGCAAGGTGGTGCTGCCATTCTTATCAGAACAGTCAGGAGAACATATGATTCTCCCATTTACTTCATCAAGAACACCATCAGGCAAGAAAACACACAATTAAAGAAAGATTGTGATCTTCACATCTTTTCATCTGGAATTCCAAATCTCCATTTTCAAATTAATTGCTTCTGGTAAACAAAAATGTTGAGAATATTTTGCTGCTCTTCCCTCTGTTCCCTGTGTAAAGAGCAAACAGAAACAGTCTATTAAATCTCAGGGTTTTCAGACTGAAATAGATTTGCCATATATTTCTGTAAAGAATCCCTAATTAGGGGAACCAAGGTTCATGTTGCCAGCATAGGACAGATGTGATTAGAATTTTCTTCCTTTTAGCAGTTCACACACTGCAGTCTGGCTTTTACAGGTTTCTTACATGATTTATAACAAAGTGGAAACTGTCTTCTCTGTGAAAGCTTTTGTTCTGGACAATGGAATAAACTAACAAGCAATTAAAAGCAGTGATGGCTTCTGTAAAATCTCTTATCATACTAAACCTAGACTTGTTCCAATCTCATTGAGAGGTTATCTTCATTTCTGTAGGACAGGCATGTGTTTTATGGCTCAGTGACAGTTTTACCAGTCTTTCTGATTTTTTAATCAGTCTTGTGATAATTGATGTCTTATTCAGAAACCTAATTTCAAGAGAAAGCTGATCTACATGAATTTCAGGGTTTTTTTGGAGAAAATAAGGAGGTTACAGTTGTCAAGAAAAAAAGGAAAATCTCAAATTCTGTGCATGATTTTTCTTAAACATATTCCCTTATGCCATTTTGGTTCTTGCAGTCAAATTTTGGTTGCAATTTATTATCAAAGTAGCATTGCAATTCTTGAGACTATAATGTTTTATTTTCCAAATAAGTGAAGTATCATGGAACTGAAAGAACACACTGGCCTTCTTAATACATTGTGCCCAGAAAATGAAAATATTCTTTGTCCCTCAGTGATCATTTTTAAGTGCTAGTTGAAATGAACTTAGCATTTGTAGAATTCACAGGTAGCAGGGCATGTTTCACCTGGATTTCAGAAAGGGAAAATATTACAGATGTGCTAAGCCCTCTCTAACTCCTCAGACTGTGTTCCTGCAGTTTGCAGTGAAGCATCGTGCTCAGACAGGGCAGCAGCACTCCGGGCTGGCTGTGGTGCCAATGCTGGCACCCCTCTGCGGCTAATCTCTCCATTTGGAGCTTTCCCTGGATATTTCTACCCCATTTTGAGGCTCTAGCCACTCCATTTGAACTAAAAACATACTGATAAAGCTGCTCTATTTTTGCTTCAGTCTTCAGCTCACCTGTGGCACCACTATGAGCACAGGGAAGCCTACCAGAAGCTTCTGGAGGACATCGCGGTGCTGCGGCGTTTGGCTGCCAGGCTCTCGAGCCGAGCCGAGATGGTCGGAGCCGTTCGCCAGGTGAGGGCATCCTGGTGCTTAACTCTATCCTGGATCCACAGGTTCACTCTTTTCCAGCCTGGGACAGAGGTTATATTCACCCTCTATGCTTTATTTGCCATTTTGACAGACTAAAGATGTCTGTTTTAGTGCCAAGTAACAAACACAGCATGGCAGCCAAGGAAATGCCATTCCAACAGAAGGTTTCCCTTTAAGCTATTTAACATGTGTACAAGAAGAGCATATATTTTATTCAGAACTACAGCTGTATCACAAGAAACTAATTTCAAATCAGTGCAGCACAAATAAGAAAACTTTTCTGGGTCAAAAAACTAATTCAGTCATCTGCCTTTGGCAATAGCTTTGTCAATTACAAAGAGTATGAGAACAGAGTGAGTATAAATAAGAACACATCAACACCCTCCCAGATTCCAGAATGTTCCCTCTGCTTTCTAAAGTAACCAGGCTGATGCCAGTGACTAAGACCTTTGAGGGTTTGAAAACAAATGTGGTATACCACATAAGCAATCAGATAGGCACACAGGCAGGGTGTATGAATATATGCCAAAATAAATGATTATATTCTGTGAAGTGCATATGAATTGGCACTTTATTCTAACTATCTTAGGAATTTTCAGTCGTGGAGTCACCAATACTTCCTTAAGAACAGCAACTCCAGATTTAGCCCTGACATGGAGCATACATATAGAGGCAAAATATTTGTTGGAGATGTGTAGAGGTTACCTGGGTATTTCCTTCTTTTCTTCCTTAGGAAAAGCGTATGTCAAAGGCAACAGAAGTAATGATGCAGTATGTGGAAAATCTGAAAAGAACATATGAAAAGGATCATGCTGAACTGATGGAGTTCAAGAAACTTGCCAATCAGAATTCCAGCAGAAGCTATGGTGCATCTGGTAAAGAAAAATAAAAATTTAAGGGTTTATCTTGCCTCTAATTCAGAGAGATGTTGGTGCTATTAACAATTTAAAGTAAATTATTGTGAAATCTGTTCATGAAGTTCTGATCTACAGGAGTAGATTTTTAAAAGTTACAGTAATAAGTTAAAATGTTTCATATGAACCATAATTAATGCTATAGTACAGTAATTTGAAATCACTATCACTTATCAAATTCTAATGAGGTCCAATCACATTTTCTCGTGGCCTCTTGCAAATCCATGTACCCTGCACAGTTTTAATGTAACTACCTTTTAAGTCCAGATGATGGCAAAATTTCATTATTAAAAACAGTTTTCTTTTTGCAACATTTTGTTTCCTTTCTTTTGCTGAAAACTGAAATATGAGAATTTTCCTTTGCAAGAACTTGTGTATGGAGGCCAATAGTGGGCTTTTTGCCTGATTCAGTGAAAATAGTAATGATTTGACTATTTGCAATTATTTCAAATTTCTTGTGCAGGTGTAATTGAGAAGAAATGTAGTATTTCATGTATGACAAAACTATATGAATAAATACATGGTCACTTACAGACCCTGTGTAAATATACAGTATCTGAGTTTGAAATATAAGCAAGAGCTCTATTAATATTACTTAGAGATACTCACATAGTCTAAGACTGTTCTTTGTCTTTGTTTCTGTGCAGAAGATGGGGTTCCTCGTTCATCTAGATCCATGTCTCTCACTGTTGGAAAGGTATTTCTACAATATAAAGAAAACAAACATTTTTTGTTTGTGAAATTTCTTTGTCTACATGCACTCAGCTCTTTAGGCTGTGCTCAAAACAGTGCTGGTAACCTCTCAATATCATTCATGCAATTCAGTGCATGGGCTTTGCAATTTTGGATACATAATTTAGTATGACTTTGTGCAATAATGGTTGTGCCTGATGTGAAACTCCAGTCTTTTATTTCTACAAAACTTCCAAGTCTATCACAAAACTTGCTAAAACAGCCAGTGATTTGGGAGGCATGAGTCCCAGTATGACCATGATGAATTTTGGTGATCAGGTGCATTATACTCAGTCTGCTGTTTATTTTCATGCTGTTTATTTTCATACTCTTATTTGACTGGGTTGTAGTTTTTTTAGGTTTAGTTTATTCCTGCCACCTCTGAGTGCTGGATATAAAGAATTACAGCACGGAGTATGCTGAGGGCAAGACGGGATTTCAGAATGAGAACCCCATAGGTTGAAGCAGAGGTCTCAAAAAAAGACTAAATTTAACAGGGACAAGTCCAAATGATAAAGAAGGGGATAAAGAGAACCCAAACACTAGAATGGAATGCCTACCAATGCTGCAGACTTCCCAGTCTTTTCAGGAGCACATTAAATAAAACTGTCATTACTGAACAGATATGGTTTGTTTTGTCTAGAACCAGAATCATGGAGTGACTCCTAAGTATTCAATAAGCCTGTGTTTAACTCCTTTCCTGTAAAGTTGCATAGGGCTGGATCTTAAAAGTGTTTTTATATGCACTAAAACAAAGCTGTTGAATGCTATAAGTGTTTTGATGTTTTTACTCAGTTGGAAGCATAGATTTTATATAGATTTTATAGGATGAAGCATTTGGCTACTTACCAAATGTCAGAAAAAATATACAGAATCTGTACTTGAGCTAGAATATATTGTTACAGTTAGCATGTGTTTGTCATAAGAAAGAATTTTTTATGATCTTTGGGAAATATAAGCAGTGTTGCATGATGCTATCTAACAATTCAGGGCTGGGAGAGAAGAGGCTGCTCTTTTGTGGAAGGAATGGATGTTTTTGTTTCAGTAAATTATAATTAATAGATTTACATTTAATTAATATATCATAGTAGGTACAGTATATGATAATATGTGCATAGCAAGATAAGAGTTTAATGTGTGACTTCATTATTTCCAGCCAATGTGACACTGGCACTTTCCCCAGTATTCATTATGCATCTGCTTTAATCAAAGATAAAGGCCTATGATAAGAGTGGACAATAAAAACTCAGAACATTTCTGTTGTGTGATTTACCCTGCTGGGCTTTCAGTATGGAGGGAAAAGAGCAGCATCTCTGTGCCACACCTCATTTTACATTAAGCACTTACCATATCAGGCAGTACAACATGAATTTCTGGGGAAAACCATGACCTTTTATTTTACTTTTACTTCCAACTCTCCTTACCCCAAAGGGGACACTGACCTACATCTTTGCCACACAAATTAACCCACAGAACTGTTCTTCATTCTGTCTTGTATGGTAGAAAAAATAATTGTTGTTTCCACCAGAATATGCCTCGGAGGAGAGTCAGTGTTGCGGTTGTTCCTAAATTTAACTCTTTGAACATTCCTGGTCAGTCACCCACAGCTTCACCTATACCTTCAATGCCATCCCTGGTAAGTGAAACCCATATTTTAAATTTAGCAGTTTTTGTCTAAACCACTTTTGCATAGGGGCAAGCCACATTTATGTAAAATGGAAGCTTTTTCATTGGTTTAACTTGTTTTGACTCCATCCTAGTGAAGGGGATGGACAGAGAGAATTCCTATAGTGTTAGGGGATATCACAATCTACCTCCATGAATGATCCCTTTGGGAGCAGCTGAATAGGGCAGGCTACTGATTCATGGGTATTGGACATTAGTGAGGCAATTTGCCTTTTAATCTGAAGTAACATTCAGGAAAGAAATAGTGGAAATAGTTGTCCACTGTAGGAGAGAAATTTTAACCAGAAACCACAGAACACTGCTGGACTGCTGTTCTTCATTTTCAAAAGTCCACTGAACAGAAATAAATGTAATTAATGTACAGAAATGTACATGGTAGCAATTTAGAGGTTCTGTGATTATCTGGGATCAGTAGAGCCATCAGTCTCTATATTGAATTTTTGCTTGTAAAACTTAAATAAATTAAATAAAACTCTAATTTGAACATAATAAATCTACACAAATGCTTTGGAGAAAAACTCCAAGACCTACTCACTGTTCAGAAATGAGTTAAGATGGGACAAAAGCTTAAAGTTATGGGGTTCTTTGTTAAAAATATAGGGTTATTTAAATGAGGGTTTTGCTGAGAAGCTAAATCTGTTTCTCTCTTTTACTTGTAAGAAAAGCATCTGTTTGTACAATTTATTTATTATGTATTCAGACTCAATTGTTTCAGGAACCAGGTGTGTTTGTTTGCCATGGTTTATTATGAATTATTTTTGTTTAAAATTTCCCATTGAAAACTCAGCTAATAAATTCATGTTTTTAGGATAATAGGAGAGGAACAATAGAATAATTTTACTGTTCAGTGATCAATATATGAAGGAGAACATTTTCTGGGGAAAAATAAATAGGGTAGAAGGAAATGTCAGAGAAACTTCTTAGTATGCAAGTCCATTGTTTACTCTGGTTAATGGGAGCAAGGTGGAAGCACCATATTAAAGATACTTTGCTTGTGAGTGTGGGAAGGAAACCTAAGCATCACACTGCCTTTGTCATTTTATTGATCACTCATTTGAAATTAATTAATGAATTTTAATTGGTATTTAATCATTTAGTCATGAATGTTAACTAATTAATGAATGAAACATTTATTGTTGTGTTTTACTTACAGTCTGAATCACCCAGTAATGGAAGGAGCAACCTAACATCTACTCCTGCTCTGGCAGCACTTCTAGAAAAGTGAGTTTTGTCTAGGTTGTCTCAGTACCAATTAAATGCTAATACTAAATGGTAATTTAAAGAATCACATTTTGAAATACTGATATCACACTACTATACTATCACTAAATAGTGATATTACTACTACTTGTTAGAATGCTTTAAACATGAAAATTAAAAGCTTTCAGAGTGTACACTACAGAATATTGATTACAGAATATTTTAGATTAGTGCTGAGGCAGGACAAAATTTATCTTATATTTTTGTTTTACCTTGTTCTTTACAAAGAATGTAAATATGCAACAACTGAGAAAACAAAAATGGGAAACTACAGCACTGGCTGCTACTATTCAAAAAAACTCTGCGAGATCTAGACCATATTTGGAAATTCTGTGAGAAAATACAACAACCAAAAAAACCTTATCAATATTTGACACCTAAGAAAACAAATTTTGTTACTGAGTAACAGAGGCAGAACTTGAAATTCAAGTTTGAGCATAAATTGTGTGTGCATGGGCCAGCTGGTCTAGTAGTGTAGAATTACTTAGACCAGCACAGTTTTGTATGTTTAAGCACTTCAGGCTTATACTCATGGTTTGTTTAAAGTCCAAGTGAAAATAATGTCTACTGTAAACATGACTTGAAAGAAAGTCCATTGCTCACTGATGGTGTCAATCAGGCTGAACTATTTCAGTGCCAGGAAAATAAGGCCTGCAAAAAGGGTGATATTCCAGAAGTTGAAAAGGGATCCATTGTTGAGCTTATTAAACCTTGACTTTGATATATCTGCTATGTCTCAATCACTTAAACTCTATGTCCCTGATAAAACAAATTCCAGAAGAGCACTGCAGGAAGACAGCAATATAAGACAGCTTGTCTTCAGGCTAAATGCTCCAAACTTTTACTTGAGAAAAGTGAGGTATGTGTATTTTTTTTCAACCTGTGCATCAGTTCAGCATATAAAATCAGCACAGGAGAACACTTAAAAGGTAAATAAAAACAATGTTTTGTTGAATTAGTATTTGACATCACTTCTGTTATGTTCCTCTTATGTAGCAGGTTACAATTTCTAAGATGATATTTAGAAAGTTGAGGGAAATGTTTTCATGAATAGCAAATAAATGTCATGGATGAACCAGGAAACAAAGGCTATTTTTTTTCTTTTTTATAGAAGAATAAAAATTATAGTTTTCTTACCTTAGAAACATAATAATTACTGTTCTTTAATCACAGGACCCTGAAACTAATATTTTTCTTGGTGTTTAATTTTTTTTCTTTTGTAAGACATTTAATTTCTCCAATGTACATTAAAAAAGACAAATCATGACTCACAAAATTGCAGCTCCAAATACAACACATTTCTGTGATGTTATTTTTTATTTGTCTGCTTCTTTTGTCTTGGCAGTGGGAAGTCAAGTGGAGAGCCTGACTGTGAAACTTCAACTTCTGTGCTGACACAGAGTGGGTTGGAAGAGATCAGTCCTGAAACTAAAGCCAAGATAGAAGAGGAAGCCTATAACAAGGGGTGAGAATATTTTTTGTGTTCTAAATCTGTAAATATGTGCTACCAGATGAGGACATATATTTTTGAAATTTATTTTTAAATACAATAGTTATGTTGTTGGTGTCACAAAGTGCTTTACACAGCATGTTTTGGAGCAATTAAAAACTTTGGGATCTGTTGCTGAATGTCAAGCAAAGAATTTTGTATTATCTGAAGAGTGAGACAAATTTTGATCCTCTCCTGCAGAATCCAGCATGCCATCTGACTTTAGCATTGAATTGCATTTATTCTCCAGGACAAAAAGAAGTGTACAGAGGATATTCAAAATGATGGAATGTTATAGAAGAATGTTTACTGACTCCTTTACAATAGACAGAAATTGTTCTCTGTGGAGAACAATCTCTTTTTTTATTTAAAATTATAAATTTGGTATCAGCTTTAATATAATCCTCTGTTCAGGAAGGGTGGCTGTGTGCCTTACTGGTGGCCTTCAGCCAGTTTTTACTCTTGTTCAAGTGCTGCAATACTGCTACTTGAGTTTTATTACATATAACAAAACATAAAGCTAATTTTTCATTAAACAAGATCGTGCTTATACAACATTCTAGACTAAGAAATAAATGTTTTGTCTGATAAAGATATCAGGAAGCCTTGAAGAAAACCAAAGAACTTCAGGAACTGAAGGAAGAAGATGAAGAGACACCCAAAGAAAGTCACGATGAACATGAAGAAAGTGAAAATGAAGATGAAATAAAAAACCTGAAAAGCAGGTGAGACAGTGGTGTAATATGTCCATACAAGAGGGGCCACTTTTTTCTACTTGTGGTACCCAAGCAAGTGTTTTATACTATCATTTTGGCATGTTTTCCTCCTGGGGAAGCATATTGAAATAATAATATTTTCACAGAAAGTAAAATTTCAAGACGGTGTCGTTGCAAAACGCAAACTCTTGATTTTGATATTTCAGTTAAAGCTGTATGTTGACATCAGGATGCTTCATCTTGATGGGCTTTGGTTCTGATTTGAGATAAAAGAATGCTCCATAACAGTTCCTTAGATGCCAAAATGTATCCCTCTATGGATATGTACTGCCTCATAAAGGTTGTAATTCAGGAACCTGAATTAGTGCCATTCCTGTCACTAGACTGACACTGCATCCATCTGTACCTTACAGAGGAATTGAATGCTGGCCAAAGCAAATGTGATCCCAGGTAAGGCTGGGATCCTTACCTAATCCAGAAGAATTAATTTCCACTCCATAACTGTTATAGCTATAAACATCTGTTGATTTGAGATTTCAACCACCTTCAGAGAGCAGCCATCTCATTAGTCATGACACTCTTGGAAAGAAATGTTTACCACATATTCCAGTGTTTAATTTAGTTGATCAAAGTATGAACAGTGCAGAATTTTGCATGATATCAAGGTCTGAGATTTGCCAGCTGAGAGGTGGGAGAAATAGGAGTCAAGCTTACAGTCTCCAGCTGTCTCACAAATTTTACTCATACAGAATATATCAAGTTGGAATATCTGAGTATACAGCTCTTCATGAAAGAACTTTACAGTTTGATTCTTCTTTGACAAGGTGTTTGTATTGGGAAAAAAGATGGTGCACCACCTATGACACCTTTCAAATATAAAAGCTTAAGGTAATAAATTTGCATTTGATTAATTTATAATAGTTTTCTTTTCATTTTACAGCAGACTTGAAGTCATCATTAATTATTTATATATCCTGTACCCCAAACTGTGCAAACACTGGAATGTGATGTGGCTTGTAGTGGCTGCAATAGTCATTTTTGCTGTGGTGTTGGGGATCTACCATTCCTACAACTCCTGTGATGAAAAGTCAGAGGCACCTGAAGGGAAGGCCAGCTGTTCTGCAGCCCATCAGTATTCCTGGTGGAACTCAGGACTCCGACAGGAGCAACGCACGGAATAACAGAGGAACAACCACGCCCTCATGGTCCCTGAGCAAGTTTGTGTATCAGAGCACTGTTGTTAAAGGTAGTGTTTAGTCATCCCTGTGGCTGTTCCACGTGATCCCTTAGGCAAGGGAGTTACTTCACACCACCAGCTTTGGGATACGTGGTGAGCATCCCTTGCCAAAATGCCAATCTGATAAATAATCCTGTCTGTCCTCTTATTGTAAAGGACTCATACAAATAAAGTAGTGTTGAATCATGGTAAGGTTGTGGCAGTAATCAGCAACCTGCAAGACATTTAAAAAAATTATTTGCACAGGATATTGACATTTTGAAGACCATTATAAAATCTGCATTTGCAGTTAGTGCTTTACTTTGCATTTCCTGAATTTATTGTTGATTGTTGAAGTACTAATTGCATTTAAGTCCTTTGGGTTTTAAGTGTCTAATTAATTTCTTTATTCATGACTATTCGGTAGAAATAGAAACACTTCCTTGGAAGAATAGAATTATATTCTAAGACCAAATGCCTTGCTGCTAAAGTAATTTTATAAGAGGAATTATCTATATGATTATTTAAATGGAATGCTAAGTACATGCATAGATGTGTTTTATGATATACATTAAGAATGGGACCGCCACTCTTTTTAAAATGGGATACTCAACAGAACCTAAAATGGGGTCTAGGTGGCACAGCTGATATCATCCAGTAAGTCTGGGAACTTCTGATATATGAAAGTTCCCAAAAATTTATGTATGCTACTCAGAGTCAGTACTGGTTACAGCCAAAACTGGTAGCTGCCTGGAAGGGTCCATGTGCTACCCAAGCCCAAAACACAGCAATCTTGGGCATGGAAAGCAATCTTCAATTCTATATTGAAAAAGAAAACAAAAGCTCTTCAAGCCTCTGTATAGAGGTGACTCTGCCCTCCTGCTACCACTGGAAATAGGAATTCTTTCTGCAGCAGGAACAGAGTTCTGAGGGCAGCCAGAACCCACCCAGTGCCTACATGAACCAGGCCATGGTAGCAGTGAGGGCTTAGGAGAGCTCACTGCATGTTTTCAGTAGTTCATTTTCAGAATCTGATGCCAAGACCAAAACTGATTTGATATACTTCCAAAGCTGAGCTACCACATCAGGCTAGAATAATTTTTTGCACGGATTTTTTGCCAGTTCTGCCTATTTGGGAGTTTGTCAGTTCTGACACAAGAATGCAAAAGCTGAAATTTTTGGACAAGCAGTTTGAAAATGGTGAAGCCATTACCTGTACAAAACCCAGCACCTAGGGCTGAGACCAAAATGTGTGTCACTGGAGCTGTGCCATTTGTACCTGCTGAACGTCTCTTCTGAATGAAGGTGAACCATATTTTTCTTTCCAAAGCTACAGCCACAACAAAAGCCACAGCAAATCCAGTGTGACACTCCATTGCACTCCTGTCCTGCATTCTCCTAGCATTTTCTGATTGAGAAATGGGTCTGTTTTCCAACAGAAGGATAAGAGTGTTATGAAGTACTGTAATTTCAGTTCCGATGCAGTCAATATTGTCCTGTCCTCTTTTGGAGGAAACACTGAACCTCAAGCTAACTGTCAAAGAAAACAGGTTTCTAACTCAGTCAGAAATTTAATTCACATATCTGGCACTAGTGACGAGTATCCTGCTGGTGAATTTTTGTTTGCCACGTGTTTCTTAGAAGACATTTATACGGAGAAAGCAAAAAACAAAAAAAAACAAAAAAAAAAAAAAAAAAAAGCAGACCATTACCACCTTTTTTTTGGGGGGGGTGGGGAGTGGGGAAGGGAGTCTATAAGAAATTAGGAGGTTTTGGGTTTCTTTTTAAGTATCTATATTGAGGAATAGTGTGCTTAAGGAAGTTCAAAAAGGATAATGGGAAAGTGTGATTTGGTCTAAAATTGCAATTGGTAAAGAATAAGACAGGAGGTTTCTTGCAAATTACTTGGAATCTGCTTGGTTCAGTTAGAATTTCTGACTGTGAAGAACTACTGTGACCTTTCATGTACTTTCAGTATTTGAAGAAACTTGTCAATTGTTGCTTGAATACTTCTTTACTAAAATCAGCTTCTTTAACTTAATATTCTTTACAAATAACAGTGATAACTTAATAAGGCAATAAAATGGAAGGAAAATACTCCTAAATATTATTCAGATTTCTCTATGCCAAAAATTATGACACATATTTATGTGATTGTGGAAATGTTAGGCTGTACTGAAGAAAAATAATTAACAGTGCCTATAATTGAATTAATTTGCTTTTATTAACATCGGCACTGTTGTGAGTCCAACAACTTATTTTAAGTACACATAGAAAGTTATTGATATCAACAGGACTCTCTAATTGCTTAGTGTTAAGCATGTGAAAAGGTCTTTTTGGTCAGTGGGTGAATGAGGTCTCCATCATCTCCTAAAATCCAGCACACTGCCTTTTTGTGGTATAAGTGCAAAGGGACAATTCCCAGAAGTAGTTGTACTGATTTGAACTGAACTACTTGTATATCTGAGGCAAGTATAATTTAGCCACAAATGAACTGAAAGAGGCAAGAGATTTTAATGGAGGTGCAAAAATAAAGATGAAGTTTACTAAAAAAAAAAAAAAAAATTGATCTTTTTATAACTACTTTGAACAAACTATCCACTAAAAATAACAAACCACAATGACTAACAGCACACTAAACAGCTATGCTTATATTTTTCAGTTATTTAATTTAAACACCTTTTGTTTAATAGCAAACTAGATTAAGCTCAAAAATATTCTAAATATAATTTTATCTGCTGGATATTAGTTTGCTTTATCTGGAGAAAAAAAAGCCAAACAACCTCTTCTGTGTTCAAAGATCACATCAGATAACAAGAAACAGACCTATTATTTATGCTATTCCCACTGAAATAGTTTTCTTGAGGTGCAATATTTATTTTTCTGCTTTAACAAGACACATTTATGGTTTCTCCTGCACAGCACTAATGTTTCTAGCAAAAGGAATTTCAAAAGGGCACTATTTTTGTGTATCATATTTAAATTTGTAATATTGTAAGATTTTGCACAAGTGTGCTGGTATTGTACTGTATAGTATCACATACTTGAGTTTTGAAATAAAATTATGGTTTCAAAGTCCTCAATGTTTTTTACCTTAAAGATTTGGGGTGCTCTGTCTGCATATTGATGGCCGTGTCCTCATGAAGTAAGTCCTGCTTTGTCTACACTGTTACATGTTCCGAGGATCTTGCTCTTAGTCTTCCAGTTCTTCAGGAAAATGGTACAGAAGAGAAGAGCAAACTCCTGTGTCAGTGGAGAAAGTGTTTGGAAGCAGGGTCATCCCTGCCATGCCCTAGAAACCAGCTGGGAGAGGAAGCTGAAATATCCTGGAATGAGTTTAAACTCCTGCTTCAGAGGGAGGCCACGTGTCACGGAGGAGGCTGAACATGGGAAGCCACAAGGGAAATCTGTAACCTGAGGATTCTGGGCAGAAGGTCAGGAGCTTTTATTTGCTTCGTGTTCTTGTGGACTTGGGAGGTCTGGGAAATCTGGGTCTTATGGGGAGCAGACTTGCTTGACCAGCGGTAGGAGTCAGTCCTCAAGTTCTGAATCTCTGATGGTCTCTGCCAGAGGACAAACTGTGGGACATCAACAACCTGGAAAGGAACTACTGTTTCCATGGAAAAACCCTGATATTTGTATTTTCTACATGAAATTTTTTGTTGTTGTTGCCTCTACTGTTGTTTGGGTTTCAAGGTTCCTTTTGAAATTACTGTAGAGAATGGTTACGTGTGTTCTGCCTTGTCAAAAGTTTTCGATTTAGCAACCCTCATCAGCATTTTAAAACGTGCTGACATAAAGAGCTGGGAATTTTTCATATCGGTTACAGTAAGTATTTAGGTCAAAGATTAATCATTCAGTATATTTCTGCTTTTTCTTTACCACACTGATTATGAAGAAGACACACCAAAAGGTTAAAGACCTTTTGTACTGTTGCAGTCCAGATAAGTGATCTTCCGTGCAGTTTTGGAACAGCTGAACTACAAAAAGGAAGAAACAGACAAAAACCAAAGTTATTTCAGTCTTGCTTCGCCATTCTAAAATTCTTTCCTCCCTCTCCTAATCTGTAAGACCTTGTGAAGGAGCTCATAGTTTTGTTTGGTGTTACAAAGGTGTTTATTTCATTTTCACAGCTAGAAATCCTACTAAACATGAGAAGTTTGACTAAAGGACCATTGCCACGGTGAGGGTATTAGGCACAAAATGTTAAGACCCAACAATTAGCATGCAATTTTAAAATGTCAGAAACCCAGTGATTTATTAGTTTTCATGGTAGGAAATACTTAGCAGTTCAAGGTAAGCATTTTCCATGGTGAGAATTTGTTTAATGTTCTCAGTATTTTAAAGCCAAAGTCTATAGTCCATGAGAGCTACAGAATAACTAATAACTAATTTCTGCTTCTGCCTTGTAAATGTGAGTGAATCCTCTTACAGCCTTCTTCAAGTGAGCTAAGTCTGATTACAGTATCTGATGTTGGCATGGCTTTGTAGAGGCAGGTAAGTACAGCACAATAACAGAGGGAACAGAAACTGGAGCTAGAACTTTGTCTAAAGATCTCATTGAGTTTTACTGAATTCAGTTCCAAACCACAGCCAAACACAACCCAATTTGAATCTGATCATTGCTAATGGAGACATGATTTCACTGACCCCCAGCATTCTCCTCAGGCCCTGTTACAGAACACCATCTAATAACCCTGTCACATGCTGCTGCAGGAGATGTGCCTGTGCCCTGTTAAAAGTTAATGCTATCTCATGTATTAACTGGGGACTTTCTAAATGCAAACCACAGTTTAAAGAGGAAGCTTTACACCGTTACACTTGTGTTCACAGCGCCCTGAAAACAACCTGGAGACACCGGACATCTAAAAGTTTGCTGAATCACAAATTGAATGTTATGTAAGAAAATCACACTGTTGCAAAAATAAAATGACTGACACCATTCTGAACTGTAAAGCAGGTAAAGCAATTTTTCAATTAGTCTTGGCATTGGCAAGGCATCACACGGAGCCAGAGAGTGAGGCAGCAGGGGTTTCTTAGCTGAAAGAAAACTGGAACCAAAGGCATAACTCTTTAAAAACATAAAATAGTTGCAAAACATAAGGGAGTAAAGGATCTTACGTGTCCATTGCCAGCAGGAAAAGAAGTGATAGGTTTATACCAGGGAATGGCTAAGTCAGGTTAGAGTAGGGAATGCCTTTGAACTGTAAAGAACAGTGAGGCACTGAACAAGAACATTAGAGGAAATGTTAGGAATCTGTCACTGGAAATCTTTGAGAACAGGTTAGACAAACATCTGTCAGGAATAACGTCGTTATAGCAGACATGACTGATACTAAAGGAATTGGCCTGTCCCTTGAGCTCCACTCCTGCTCTGTGTTTATTGGAACCTCTGGGAAAATAAAAAAAATTTAAAATTTAATAAATAAATAAATATTTGCTAAGATTTCCTGAAGGTTTTCTGAGTTATAGCTGTGAGGATCATCTGTATTTTGAAGCAATCCATGGGAATCACTGCTTGTTGGAATGTCACAACAGGCAGCAGGAGTGGCACTGGCTGCCACTTCTGTACCTATGGTCTCACAAGAATTCCCATTTACAGCAGTGTATCTCCAAATCTCTTAAAAAATAAGTTTCATATTACCTTTTTGTTATGGGAACTACTTTTACATTGGAACTCTAAGGAAAAGAAACAAGTAAAACTTCCATCAAGACAAGTAGGACAGTGGGGAATGTGTACCCTTTCAGTCCCAATAAAAAAGAAAAATCTTGTTTGGCATATTGTGATACAATAGAAGATTTGTTTTATTTACCAGATGAATAGTCAACATGAATAATTATCTGTTTATCAGTAAAACAGGAAAAAATAGCAAAAGAAGAACCTCTTTCTAAGTGTTTACTGACTTAGCAGTCTAACAGCCTTATCTCCCTTCCTCAGCCGTGCTTTCCGAATCAGCAGTAGTGAAATTTTTCAGCAAGCCCTACATGAAAGCGAGTGGAAAGGGTGATTAGGGATTTCCGGTCCGTGACCTCACCCTGGAGTGGGACAATCAGCACATTGCCTCTGACATTCTTACTATGAAGCAGTGCAGTGACAGCTGAAGCTGCTGTCCAGAAGTCATCTCATCATCTGACAGCATCCAATACCTTAACTTTCTTTAGCACAGAAGGCAAACTACCTTGAATTTCCTACTTTTCTGAGTTTTTCCAAGCAGGTGGCAATGGCAAATTATCTTGGAGTTACCTCAGCAGTGTCTTTCATCTGGGTTATGACATTCCTGGCTCAAAATTACTTTGTAACAGGTATGTAAAGTTCCACTTTTTAAAGTCTTGGAAAAAGTAGCTGGATTTACAAACAAAAATGTGGGGAAGGAGTGTGTGTAAATGTGTTTCTGGCAGAGGAAACCACAGGGCTGTGAGAATACAGTGCAACAAAAACTGGCATATAGGGAAACTTTCATTGTTGTTCTAATTCAATTGCTGAAAATTCTGAAGCTTTTTCGTCTAAATGCCACAGAACTGCTTATTTTAAAGATCTGGTATCACATTTAGGGTTAAGCTCAGATCTATTGAAATGTAGTTTTATTTTGTATTATTTTAAATACCAGAGCAAACAGTTTTGTACAATCCTCAGAGAGCACATGAGACCATGAGTTCTCTTTCAAATTCCATTATCAACTTGACGGAATCCCTCCTAACTGCAGTAGCTGCTGGGATATCCCCAGATGCTCAGTGCACACCAGAAGCCTCCAGATGCTTCGCTATTTTCAAGGAGTTAGTGCTTGTTCTATTTATCTTAAAGAACACATACAGTTATTGCAGACAACTGATTTCCTCACCTACTGAAGGACTTCTGGACTGAGTGAATTACATGCTCAAGTCCTACTGAAATTCCACAGGACTGAAGTACCTAACAGCAAAACCAACACTACAGTTTCCACTGGGGAAAAGGAGAGCTTGAGGAAGTGCCCTTCCACGGGACACCTCATGCACCCTCATGGCTCCAAGAGCTCCAGTTAAGCTCAGGTCTGATCTCCAGCTGTGTCTTGGAACTGTTTTGTGGCATGTCCTGTCCCCTCCTGTAGTGATTTGCTGACTAGGCTCCACATATGCACTCTGGATTTAGGCTGTAGGTAATTTTGTCTCCAGGATGTCTTTCAGGCATGTGTAGAACCATCTCCTGCTGTTCCCAAATGGACTTTCTGGGTGTTTGACCAGTTGTCTTGCTCTTTGGGGCTGGCAGTGAAACCTGCCCCCATCCCCACTGTGGGACTGTGCCCTGGCTGGTGAGGGCACAGTCCTGCCTGTCACCCTCTGCTCCGGGCCCCTTTCCTTGTGGAACAGCCTCATGCCTGCTGCTCCCTGACACCAGCAACCAAAGGGAACTAATAAATCAGAGTGAAGGTCAGACACAAGGCAAAGAGAAAAACAACAGCTCCCACCCCACCCCTCCCAAAAAAAAAAGCAAAAAGGGAACTAATACACAACAAGGCCAACATCCACAGCCTACAAAAAGGGAACCATTTTTTTCCTGTTCTGTGTCAGCTTTGTCTTGCTGTCAGATTCTTCTGTCTAGATCTTCCCACTTACTTCAGTAAACCAGATTTTTAACCCACAATCAAAATAGTGAGCAGAATGTGCCAGTACTAGGTTACCTAAATAGAGCAGAGATTAAAGTACAGCTAAGTGCAGCCTGTGGACCAAAAAGGATAATATACTTCTAAAGGATTAGTCAGCCTTCTGTACAAACTCAGTCATCTTCAGAATAGAGTTCAGAGGTGAGTTAAGAAGTGACAGAGACTAGAAGAGGCTACTATTCTCTTTTTGGATTCCTTCCTCAGTGTGAAATTCCTAACTTTTACAAAATGTATCATTTACATCACTGATTTTGTTTTAAAAGGCCTAGCAAATTTTAAGACACAACTTTGCTCCATATCCTAGAGTCACTATTCTTATAATTCGCACCTTCAGTTTCTGGCACTGAATTTCTATATTGTGCTGTGTATCTATCATGCAATATTTGTTCTGTAATTGAATGACTAATGAGTGTAGCAGCTCACAAGTACCTAGATAATTTTTCTAAGATTTCATTAAATTCCTTTCAGTCAGCTGCTCAGCTTTATTTGAAATTTGTAAAGTTGGTCATCGAGAAGCTTCCTTTCTCAACATTACTTTTGTTAAAGGTTGAATTGGCTCAAATCTGAAGATAGGGAAATAATAGACTAAATAAGGCAGCCTTGAAGTCCTTGATAACAGCACACACACCTTCATTGAGCAACAGGGCTTCTCTGCATCCCCCTGTGATGTGTTTGGCCTTGACTTATGTTCATGTCAGGGCTGACATGGTTCAATGGCTTTCCCTCTCTGCTGAGATAAAGCCACCTGATTCAAAAATCTCTTCCAAATAGTTAAACTAAAGGTGAGGACAGCAGAGATGCATCATTTTCCAAAAGCCATTTCCAGCCCCACCACATCCAGTGGGAGCGGGAGCTAAAAGCCTGTCTGGTTTCTTAGCCCTCCACACAACCTTGGTCACCTTTTATCCCCTTCCCATCACAAGAGTGGCTTGGCTGCCAGTTCTATCTTTTCATTCGTAAAATTCAGTTTAACTTGTCTTGTTAAGAAGTCATGGGGTGGATTTGGAGGCATCACTTCATCCTGCCTTGAGAGTTTATGGACTGCCTGTATTCTGAAGCACAGATCTTATGAAATATTCATTAGTGCACACACCTAGTGAATAGTCTGACAAACATATTGAGCAAGGAAGTAACACCTGTGGCTGGTGGTTATCTGACATATCTGCAACAAAATGCTAAAATGTTTAATTTGACAGGGCAATTACTGCATGTAACTCCAAAAGAATCTTTTTTTTTTCCAGTAAATGCTCCCAGTAAAAATATGGAGGCAAAATTCTCCTTATTTGTGCCAAATCCTGAATTTTCTCCTATGCCCTTAACACAGATGAGAAAGAAGAGCAGGTGTAACCTGAGCTATGCACTTGCTGGTGCAGGTGTCACAAAGACTGTGCCAGCTGTGGCTATTTAAAAAGCTGGATGAACTGCCTGGAAAAATGTTAAATTCACCTGGCCTATCTTTTCCTGCTTCCTGCCAAACACAGTAAATGGAACACTTGACAGTGGCTGGGGGATGGAAGCATCATGACAAGCTAGGAAGAAAAAGAAAAAAGAGTTTGGGAGCAATAAGGAACATCAGAAATGATAAAACTTTTTCATTTTCTTGTTGCTATATTAATTCCATGAGAAATTTTGTGTAATTCCTTTGCTGTTATATAGTTTGCCATCTTGATAAGAAGTAATATCTCAGTGCAACAGCTAGCTTTAATTTATTTTAAAAAAGAAAAGAAAGAAAAAAGGCTCTATATGCATTTAGTCTAATGACAGTCAAACCTCTTGAAACCCCAGACTATTGAGTTAAAAAATACATTCTATTGTTAAAATAAGTCTTTTATGCTATAAATCAGTTTTCTGCTATCCTCAAGCTAGAAACTTTAAAAAATGTTCAATTCAATTGATCTTAAATTCTTCATGAGGAGTAAATGTTAATATTCAAATACTAACCTTGACTATTTTATGGCTTAATTACAGGTTCCATTAATTCACCCTGCAGAATCAAGGGTATAGGAATTTATCTTGATCAGAAAGCAAATTTCTCAGAAGCAAGTAATGGATGTAATCGATTCAATCTACAGCTGGCAACTAAAAAACAAGTTGAAGAGGCTCTGAAACATGGCTTTGAAACATGCAAGTAAGTGCCACCAGTTTGTGGCTCATTCCCTTTAGCCTTCACAGCTAAAGGCTGGTGATAAATCTCATACTAAAAGCACTGATGCTTTTTATTGTAGCTATGGATGGGTGAAAGACGGATTTGCTGTTATTCCTCGGATAACATCCAACCAGAAGTGTGGTCAGGGAAAAACTGGAATAGCACAATGGAATGCTGGCAAGGATAAAAAATTTCATCTCTACTGCTTCAATTCCTCAGGTATGTAAGCATGACAACTACATTTTCTGTGTGTTTTGGCTTATATTAATTTTTTATAATCCGCATGAAAAAATTATAAAAGCGAGTAGTTTTCTATAATCTGTTGACCCTTTTCTCCCAGTCTTAAACATTGTCAAGCTGTTCTTAGCTCAGAAGCTTCCAAGAAGTGCAAAAGGTGAATTCAGTTAATGCCAATTAATAATTCGGTGCTACCATGAAAGCTCTTGAGGAAGAGTTGCTTTTACCATTCCATAATGTTGACACAATGCTGATAATATGTTTTGGTTATTTGGGCATGATAAGAGAGTGATTGAATCTTTAACCAGGGTGTCTGTGTGTGGTGTGTCTTTTCTTGCAAAAAGGCCAAGAGTGGGGTACTTCAGGAAAACTGGATTTTTTTTTTTCTAAAGGGAAGTGTATCCATTAAGCCAAATTAAATTATAAGCCAAAATGGCCAAGAGACCATAAAACTAATTAGATTCCCAATCTAAAATCAGTAAAATCCAATAGTTCTTTTTAATTTGCATCATCCTAGGTGTGAAAAGACCTGCCCTTCCCCTCACTGTGCTATTTACAGATTGAAGATGCAACAGTAGAACTCAGGCCTTGATATAAGTTAGATCTCAGCTCAACAGATCAGTATTTTTTCTTAATGGCTTCTGTGCTATTAACTAAAAATAAGTAACGAGAGATGATGTGTTCCTACTTGCGTCCCACATCTATTGTTATTACGTAACGAATATCCCAATAATTTGACCAAATAAAGGATCATTTCATTATTTATAATCAGTTCCTTGACTTTGCCAATGAGTTTTAGATAACAAAAACAAGAGGATATGTGAAAAATCCTAAAAGTTTTGAGGAACACTGTGTGAAAAAGGGTTGGAAAGCAGGAGAGAGATGGAGATGCAGGATTTTCCCATGCAAAGATGTAAAGAGCTGAGACCCTGGTGATTGTGAGCTTTGGAGGTTCCAAAGAGGATAAAGCTGTAGAGAGGAGGCCTGTGTAACATGGTGTTTCACTGCATGAAATGTGTGTTATTCTGCATCAAAACTGTTGGGGAGATTGGGAAATGCTAAAGAGGCAGCAAGCAACTCAAAATTATTTTCTTTGTTTTGGTTTAATTAAAAAAATCCCCAAACATATATACTGTTAGAGTGTGTGAAGAAAGTTAACCTTGCTCAATGGTTAGAAAACCATTTAATGTAAATTTCACATTGGGTGATTCTGCAGTCCTTTATCTTAATTTCCAAACTGTTGCCTGTTCTAGGCATTTCTCTCCATTCCATTCCAAACTATTTGTCAGAAGCTCACTTTGACAATTTTCTTGTGCCAAAAACTTGCCCAAAACTCTTGAAAAACCAGAGTGGAAAAAGTGTCAAGCCCCTGCCCTTTGGCATTTTATTCTGTAAAGGTGACTGCGTCATCAGACTTCCCATGGGGATTCACTTGGAAAACAGTACATACATCATTTCCCTTTTATTTATGTTGTAATCTGGTTGTTACTGCAGTGAAATTTTTATAGCTTTACAGAATTTCACTAGCAAAGTAGAATTTTCACATTTTCATAGGAGCCTGATCCAGAACTCAGCTTTTCCAATTCCTTATAAAACTTCACTTGCTCCTACATTTTTATACAGACAACATCCATTTCTGTTAAATGATGTAATTTCTGGAAATTACTTATTTTTCTTCAAACCTGAAATTTTTTACTTCCTAGCCTCTCCTCCCCACTTAGAATCAAATCTCTTTATTATCTCACACTGGTGTCTGATTTATTTGAAACTTTTATGGGCTACATTTTTTTTACAGGAAATGGAATTAATTTTCCTAGTATCAACAGTATATGCATATATTTTGTACATGTATATAATATAATTGAAATATTTTTGAATATTGAATCTGCAGCTAAGCTTCTTGCTCTGTGGGAGGTTATACTGTTGAGTTTTATGTGCAGTATTACTCTAAGTAGTTTACATGAGGAATATAGTCATTGGTATGGAATCATAAAATGAGTACCATGCTTGCTCAAAGGAGTGTGCAGCTATGTAAGTAATAATAAAAGCTGTATAATCTTATTATATGAATTATAATTATATGAATTAGTAATTTCAAATGCAAAATTTCAAATGTAATTTCAGATACATAATCTATATTTGAAATAGGAATGCCTTGTTTGGGAAAAGCTTTTATGAACAAAAATATAATAATTTCCAGAAGGGAAAGACTGAGGAACAATTTCAGTAAATGTGTGTGCAGTAAGTACAAAACTGGCATCCAATACAACCTGTATATATTTCTTTTCCCTGCTGCAGATGTCCAGATTAATTCATGTCAACCAGACCCAGCTACAACCACATTTCCTTCAACTGCATCAAGGGACTTAACTGAATATTCAGCCTCTGATTTGACTGAGAACATCACAGCAGTGCCCACTGTGACTGTGACTGAGTCAGAACAATTCCTGAAAAAGAGATTTCGTGTCGTATGCGTGACTGAAACCATCCTACCAACAGAGGGGCCCACCACACCAGTGCCAGAGGAGCACTCACCCACTGACTCTCCCAGGCACACTCCCCACCTGGCCTTTAAGAATGATGCTGTTGTTTTTGGAGGTAAAGGTTATTTAATGAAAAGAGTGAATTATGTAGAAGTCAGTAGTCAAACTGTTCACTGCTAGTTTTGTTTGCTGCTCCACCATCCATTTTGATATAGCTGAACCTGGAGGAAGGAGTGTTATGGTTTTTCAGAACAAATCTTATAGGGCAGAGGATTATAAAGTAGTTTTTAATAAGAGCTAAGATCTGATTTTATTAAATTTTAATATGAAATGGTGTAAGTTCATTCTTGTTAATGTGATTTGGAGTAAATAAATTTCTGAAAATAATCTTGGCAAACACTCTCAGTGTAATGGAAAACTCGCTAGGCTCTTAACACCAAAAGAAGCCATGAAAGTTTTAAGGAGAATTGTTCTCAAGATGTGAAGTGTGAGTAAGCAATCCTAATACACAATATTAGGATTAATTAGGAGAAACAGACTAAATATGAGGAAAAGCATGCTAACTGTAAAGATAGAGAACACATTCTTGTGATTGACTAAGCAGGTTATGAAAGCCCTCCAATGAGCAGATTAGACAAATATCTGTCAGGGATGGCCTAAATAACAGTTTTAGTCTATCCTGAAAGAAATGAGCAGGAGTAACTCTAACTCACCTTTTGATGTTCCCAATATTCTTCATGTACTCTTATACTAGGTTGATTTTAGAAGAATCCAGCTTTTTACTCTTAAGTCTTCAGAACATCAGCTTTAAGTACATAAATAAAAACTCTGTGTTTATATCACTTTTATCCCTAGGTATCCCCACTGCACTTCTTGTACTGGCAATCATCTTCTTCATTATTTCAGTTGTTCTAGCAGTCTGTTATATCAAAAAGTAAGTTTTTTTTTCCTCTCTTGGACTGAATTAACTCCTAGAGTGCAATCACTGAATATTTAAAATATATACTAAAGAGCAGAGAAGTAATGATAACATGATAGTGTTGCACAAATTTAAAAAATCTTAAACCCTGATTTTATGCAGTTAAGTTTGTTGTTGCTGTTTCTGCTCCCTGCTTTAGGAAAGGAATACCAAAAAAAAATTGCTATTTTTAATTGATCAACCATGCCTAGTGTGAAACATTTCCAAGTGTGTCAAAATAGCAGCCCTGAAATATGCATTTGTTCATACATAAACCTCTTTATGCAGTTTTATTCTTCTTTTTTTCCTATGTCAAACTCAAGGTGAAAGTTTTTATCATTGCACTATGATTTTTCTCAGAAAAAAATAATTGTTGAACTCATTTGTCAAACTTAAAGACCTTCAATACAGTCCATCATTAAATGCTACTAAAAATTGTGTAGTTTTCATGCCCTAGCCCAGACAGCTTTATCATTGTGTACCACAAATCCTGAATATACAGTGTCTGTTTTTTAGAAAAATACCAAAATATTTCTTTAGAAAGCACACTGCTGGAAAAAATAAAATTATCTAGCATGCCACTATCCTCTGAGAGACTTCTGCTTGAGTATGGTAATTTAATTCCAGCTGTTTGAGTGATACTACCAAACTATGTCAGTATTTCTGCTTTACTATCTTTTTTCTTTTTAAAGGTACAAGAAAACCTTACCATTTTTAAACAAGAATCAGCAAAAAGAAACAGTTGTCACTACTGCTCTCAAAGAGACAAAATCAAATGATCAAACACCTGAGAAGGAAACACAAAATAATGGAAATCAGGTAGAAGAGTGTAAAACTAAGCCTGAGGCCACAGTAAAATGTTTAGAAGCAGAAGTTTAAAGGAAAATATGTACAGTTCTTGGTGGAAGTATAAAATGAAGCACACAGAACTTAGCAGTGCTTTTAAACATAAGTGATTGTAAATACTCATATTTTCTCTATCTTTTACATATGAAACCCTGTTTTTTAATAATTACATCTTTGGCAACAAATATTCTTGCAGAAGAACATGGTATCTTATTTACTTGAAATGAATTCTCCAAATTCATATTACAGCTCGGTTTTCATCTTTAATAAAGAAGCAATTAGGAATATGCTATTAACAACAATCACTACATTAGCTCTTTGCATGGAATTCAGATCAATATGTAACAAAAAGATATTTTTATATCTGGCTGGAGGATGTCTGCTAGCCTAATGCCTAAAATAAAATGCTGACACTGTAATTCTTCCTCATGTAGATTAGCTTATTTCCATTCAGTATTGCATGCTGCTTTTAAAAATATCTGTTTACAAACAGGAGAAACAGTTCTGTTTACAAGGGAGTAAAAACTCAAAGGATTAACCCACTGTCATTTAAATGCCCAAAGAAGGGTACAAAGATGCTGATGTTTATATATATATATATTTACAGCAATGAATAACTTACATACCTTCATTGTTTACATAATTTACCGTTTTATTTATTGAAACCATTATCATTCTTTCACATCTGATATTTGACAGAGGGGGATAAAAAACCCTTGAACAAGAGTTATACTGGAGATCTTTTGTGTGTATTTAAGTGTGGCTTTCATAATAAAGGTCTCAGGTGGTATGGGATGTCTACAGCACTCCATAAAAAAATAAACTATGGTGGATATGTTTGTCTGGACAATTTATTCTCATGAAAACTGTCTCATGGTAAAAAGAATTCATATAACCTTAATGTTACAGAAGAAATTAGTTGTTATAAAATAACAACACTAGCAGTTTATCAAATATTTTCCTGAGAACTCAGATAACTTATCTTTATGTGTGAAGGACATTGTTATGCTAAAGGAAGATTTTTGGTTTTTCATCAGGCAGCTTGCAAAACATAGTGTTAGATAATAATTTTTTAAAAAGCAATAGAACTGCTCACCTATATTGTGTTTCCAACAGTATAGGATACTGGGTTATGAACTTTGATATTTTCCATTCACATAAAATTTAAAATGCCCAGTGTTTACACATTCCACTAGTATTGATTTATAGTGCATTTCTAACATCATACTTAGAGATTCGCTGGGTTGTTTTTTGTTTTCTCTTTTTGCTTTTTTTTTTTGATAGTTCAGAAATACTTTATGTTTCCAAGCCATTCAGTACAGTTATTATATATATATATTATGTAAGATATAATTATAATGTTGCTTCTGTTTTAGAGCTAAATAAGGGTGGGGTTTCTTTCCCTTGAAGTTTACTTGACAAAAAGTCGATCCTGTTTTAATAAGATATTGCCTTAACCTCTAAGTGTCTTATTTTATCATGTACTTTAAAAACTCAGCTTTCATCCTGACCTTCCCACCGATACCTGAGCAACGCACATGGCTTGATCTGCCCCTCCATTCCACTACACAATTTATGCCAACACGACAAGGGCTAACGGAGCTGCTACACTGCTGTGTATGGAACAAAGGCAGCTCTAAGTACTCATCAACAAGTACTGTATTTGATATTGTCTCTCTGCAGTTAGCACAACTCAGTCACATTGGAATTGGAAAGTACAAAACATTCCTGCTCATTGTTTCATGGAATTGCAAGGGATGCACTACTGCAACGCAAACAGGAAACATTTATTAAATATCTAGACCAAGAGTGTCAAACGTCAAACCATTAACCAGAGGTAGCAGAAACTTAAGAGAAATTCATTATGTTTCTGATTTTTCTCAAGTGTTTTGCTTTACTTTTTAATGAGACCTTCTCAACAGTTCTGAAGCTCCTTGATGTGCCAGAGCTGCTCAAGCACCTTGGACAAATAATTCATCCCACCAAGCAGGAGAGCACAGTCTGTACTTGTCACTTGATGGTAACACCACTGAGATTCCCACACTGAGGCCACAGATGTTTGCTGACCTTAGGCAAAAAGGGTGCTTGGCCTGCAGGAAATACAGCAAGGTTTCCAGTCCAGCTCAATCCCTGTCTGGAATATAGGGATGCCTTTGTCGTGGGAAGTACGTGTGTCCGTGTGTGAACAGAAGCAGCCAGGAAGGGGAAGTACTACTCCTTTTCTCCTCTTTAAATTAAGGAGAAAAAAAAAAAAAAAGTAGAATTAAATATTGTGGCATCAGGATGTGGATGACCCAGAGGATGTCCTAGGATGTCTGTTTCTCAATGGCTTGCTGTCCTTTATGGGTGTTGGGATTTTTTTGTGAAAAGGTCAGTGAGCACTGACCTTTGCCACTCACATCCACCACCCACATCCTCCCTGCAGACCGGGATTTGCACCAGCAGCTGTGGCCTGGGATGATCCCACTGAGTCAGGCACTCAGACTCCATTAAGCATCATTTAAATCACTATTTAATAGAGCTCATGGTTAAGAGTGAAGGCACTGTGAGCCCCAGGCAGTGCAGCACTGAGGGTGCATCTACTGAGGGTGCAGCAAGGTGAAAAGTGATCCTGTTTTTGTCAGTCCAGCTATTGCAGAGCTTATTCTTAAATAAACCAACTCTATACAGCAGCTGTGCTGTGTGTCAGGATGGATAAGTGTGGCCAGCAGGAGCAGGGCAGGGACTGTCCCCTGTGCTGGGCACTGGTGAGGCCACACCTGGAGTGCTGTGCCCAGCTCTGGGTCCCTTAGGAAGGACATTGAGGGGCTGGAGCGAGTCCAGAGAAGGGAACGGAGCTGGGGAAGGGTCGGGAGCACAGCTATGATGAGGGAGCTGGGGGTGTTTAGCCTGGGGAAAAGGAGGCTCAGGGATGACCTTATCACTCTCTACAAATGCCTGAAAGGAGGGTGCAGCCAGGTCGGTCTCTTCTCCCAGGAAAGCAGCGACAGGATAAGACATAGGCTGTGCCAGGGGAGGTTCAGGTTCGACAGTAGTAGGAATTTCTTCACGGAAAGGTTGATCGGAAACCGAAATAGGCTGCCCAAGAAGTGGTGGAGTCACTGTCCCTGGAGGAGTTTAAGGAACGGCTGGATGTGGCACTCAGTGCCATGGTCTAATTAACACGGCACTGTTCGGTCATGGGTTGAACTCGATCATCTCAGAGGCCTTTTCCAACCGAATTGACTCTGTGATTCTACGGATGTTCTGCCGGGGCCCGCTCCGCTCAGCGACAACGCCACCGCCGGCTGCCCCGAGTGCAGTGGCCTTGCAGCCGGTACCAGGACGGAGGGAAGGACGACGAGGGCTATGAGCGGCACGGCAGAGCCGGGCCCCGCTCCGGGCCCCGCTCCCGGCCCCGCTACGGGACCCGCGTCCGCCGTGTCCCGGCAACGGCGCGAGCCGCGCGCTTGCGTCACCCCCGCGCGCCGCCGCCGGGCGCGCGCTTGCGCGGCGCGGGGGAGCGGCCGCGGCGCTGCGGTGCCCGTGGGGCGGCGGCGGCTCCGCGGGACGTGCCGGGGATGCGGTGAGCGGGGCGGGAGGGACCCGCCCCCCGCCGCCCCTCGGCGCCGAGCGCAAGGCCCGGGCCGGGGGAAGCCGGCGGATGCGGGCAGGGCCGGGCGGGGGCAGCGGGCGGGGCGGCAGTGACGCAGCCGGGCTGAGGGCCCGAACCGGGGAAGGGCGAGCGGGCGAGGCGCGCCTGGGCCATGAGGGGCTGTGCCCGGGTCCGTCTGCGCCGCTCGGAGCGCCTCGTAGGTCTGAGGGTGTGCGGGTGACGCGAGGTTTGTCGGGTCTTGAAGGGCGAACAACAGGGAACACTCATAGAGTGACAGGATATGCCTTGTTGGAAGGGACTCACAGTCTGACTCCTGGCATAGGACACCCCAAGAGTCACCCCGTGTGCCTTAGAGTGTTGTCCAAGCGCTTCTTGAACTCTCAGATTTGGTGCTGTGACCACTTCGCTGGGGAGACTGTTCCAGTGCTCGATCACCCTCGGGGTGAAACTTTTCCCGATATCCCAGTGCAGACACCCTGGCTGGTGTTTTTACCCAGACTTTTCAGTGCTGGGATTTGGGTGCTGAGCTCGGCAGGCCCGCAGGAGGACGGTGCTCCCTCGGAAGCTCGGCGGAGCACAAGCCCGGGAGATCCGGGGGGAGGTGGCTGCAAGGTGACAGGTTGTGCTCCTGACGTGTGTGGCCTGGGCGTGTGCTCACCAAACACTCCGGAGAGCGGAGCGAGAGGCGACTGGAAGGAGAAAAGTGGCTGGAGGGGGAGCGTATCTGTGTGGGAACAGAAACTGGTCACAATTCCAGCCATAAATTGGAAGCTCACTGTGGTGAAATTGCATAGTACTTAAGTATGCTCTGATAGGGGCTTTCTTGGTGTGCTGTGTTTTTTCTCACACCGTGGTGAGATTTCAACAGCTGTAAATTTTGAACTTTGGGTGGGGTTAAGCCCAAGTGCTGCTACAGCTACCTGCGGGGCAAAGTGCTGCTTTCTCTGTCTCTCATGGGGAGTTTGCAACACAGCTACTGTCAGATTGCTCCGTGTTTGGGTTTAGGTGGCTGTTCTGCAGTTCGCTTGCCCTCGCACACCTCTATCTGTAGAAGTCTTAAAAGGGCGTGGCACAACTGGTTTGCTTGACAGACAATGAACTCTGCAAAGAGGCATTTCGGAGGAAGTAAAATGCTGAGGGATCAAGGGGAATAAATAGATAAATCCTCGGAGGGCATGGCATTAATCCTTGGGCAGACTTTTGGGGAAAAAGATTTGGGAGTGAAGGAAAGATGAAGTTGGAGACATTTGAGCAAGTCAATTCTGTAATACATCCTAAAGTTGAGTGTTTTGTGCAGATAGGAGGTCTCTAAATTGGTTTATACTGACATGGATTCCTTGGCTTACCAGTTTCAGAACGCTGTGGGAGTTCTTTTGATCTGCCAGTGTAAGTTTGATGTAAGAAAGCTGATTCCTAATGTGATGTCTGTGTATAAACAGACACTGATGTGCTTATTTGCAGACATTCTGATATTCACATGCACAAATATTTAGAATAAACAAAGATTGTCATGAATTACCATTGTCATCTTAAGATTTCTTTTTTCCATTCCATTGGATGTATTTATATATGTGTGTGTTGCAGCTGAATTTGTGTGGAAAGTTATCTCTATTTAAGTATTGCTGTAAGCAAAATAGTTTATTTTTAGTAAGATAATAATGCCACATTCCAGACTCTTTGAAGTGTTCTGCGTTGTTTCTGATATGACTGTTATTTTGTTACTTGTGGAATAATTACTGTAGGCTAAAAGAAAGTGAGGGAGTAGCCACTCACAAACATACAAATGTAACCCTCTCAAATATTTTTATCAGAGACTCTGCAAGTGAATGAGAGCTTCTCTCTACAGAACTGAGGTGAAGAGCTTCACCATGGGTCAACAGATTTCAAACCACACACAAACTGTAATTAACAAGTTACCAGAAAAAGTAGCAAAGCATGCCTCTTTGGTTCAAGAAAGTGGTTTCCTAACGTATGAAGAGTTTCTGGGAAGAGTAGCTGAACTCAATGATATGTAAGCCTTACTTTGCTTCTTCCTTTTTTTGTGTGTGTTTGTTTTATAGAGACCTTGTATGCAATATGTTATTGTGTGCTGGCTAAGCCAGAACTGGCTTGATGGTTTTGAAATGTTTCCTTAATTTCTTTATGTTTTTATAATGGTTGTAATTACACTTCAAAGTCCAAAGCCTTTTCTCCTCCTTGATTTCACTTTTCTCCAGTACACTTCTTCCAGCAAGTGTTGCTCTCTCTTAAAAGTTCACAAGAGGTGATTTAGCATCATCATTTTGTTAGTGTCACGTGTGTCCCTTATTGTTCTCCCTTCCAGCTGAAGATGTGATGCTGCTTCCTCTCTGCTTGTCAGGCTGGGTAGGAAGGAGCAGTAGGAGCCTGGCAGGGACAGCAGATCTACATGAGAAGGATGGCACCTGAGAAAGAACTGTTTGTGGCCATCCCTGCCACCTCTGCAGACATGCAAGGCTGCTCCTCGTTAAGGATGAGATGTGTCTTACTGTCCCAAACCAGTGACCTAGATAATCCCAAACAAAAGGCTGCTTTTTTGTCAGATTTTTCATAGCCTGCCTTTTGTTTGATTGGTATAATGACAGTAAAAGGAAATGAGCAAAAAAAGCAGTGTTGTCATTTTTAGCCTGTATTTATGATATAAAATGAGAGTGATAAAATGAAGTGTAAACATGCACACACTGAATAAGGACTTTGTAATGTTTAACTAAAACGTGAGTTTGTATTCAGTTTAGAAATTCTTGGAGAGGCTCATACTTTTGTGAATGACCTTGAAGAACACATAGCTGTCTTCTGGGTAGACAAATAAATTGATTTTGAAGAACATAACCTGATGTTTTGACTGAGACTCCAGGCATATGTCAGTATAATTCACTCCAAAATACTATTATTCAAGTAGTTTCTTTCTTTCCAGTGTTTACTTAAGCCTGAATGTATTCTGACTCTTATGGAATAGACCCTTGTGTCTGTGTTCTATTAAAAAAATCTTGTGTCACCTGACACATTCACCTGACTGCCTCATTATTAATACATACTAACAGAAATACACCTCATCAGCATATGCTGGTACTCACAGCCTTTTCTTTACATACCTGTTGAGGAAATAACCTTTTCAGATCGGAGACAAGATTGTGTGATTAGTATAATAAACAGTGAGAGTATATATTAATTTAATGTTTATAAAGTACACCTGCTTGCTGATGCTGGAGCAAAAGATTTCCACAACATTTTCTATAGTTTGCTGTGCAGTTTAAAGTGAAATGGGTTGTGTATTCTGTGACATGCTGAGAAGGTCATAATACTTTGATGCCCCTGGGCAGTATTGCTAAAATCTCTTTTAAGGATAGAGAGCAGACAGGTGAATCATAAATAATCCCACTTGGCTGAGGCTGCTGATCTTTGCGGGTCTAGCACATGGTGTTAAACTGGTGTTGCTTTGTTTCAGTACTGCAAAATTGGCTTCTGGACAAGACAAACATCTGTTATTTGAAGTACAGCCTGGGTCTGATTCTTCTGCTTTCTGGAAGGTGATTGTTAGGATAATATGTACCAAAGTAAGTGAACATTCTTAATTTGATGGGCAATTTGTATGTAAAGATTTGAGGACTGTCAGTTTTACTTGTAAAATCCAACGCCTGCTACGTGTGTTTTGATACAGATGATGTATTCAAAGATGCTGTTGGAGATAAATTAAGTCTAAATTCTAAGTTTCTGCAAAAAGCACAGAACAAAAACATTTATATAACTAAGTTTAAAGGAGTGATGCCTTCCAGTGGAGCACCTACAGCCCTTTAGTTACAAATGCAGGTGATTTGTGAGGTCAGGTAATACAATGGTACCACAAACTGCAAACCATAGATTTTGAAATTATTCGTAGAAATTAATCAGGTCTTCCAGGCATTATTGAGCTAGTGTCCCTGTACATAGTCTGATCCCTTTGAAAACCAGTCTAAAGGTTAAATGTTTTATTTTATGACAAAAACTTATGAAATTTGCTCTGTCTAATGAGATTTTCCCCTCTATCCTATCAGGTAAAGTCCTTTAATGATCCTGAATCCCCTGAGAAATCTTAACATGTGGTTAAACAAGCCAACCCTCAAACTCTGTTTGAAACTAACAGTTAGTAGTTTTCTGTTTACTCCTAGTTTTCATTAAGGCAGCCATCACTAGGCAATTTTAAGTTCAGATATCAAATGACAGATTATCCTGTGCTTGGTTCTAAGTTCATTCCAGTTTTTTGACCATTAGGTCCCTACTCACACCTCACTCACACCATTTGAGTAGTGGTGGCAATTGCCTTGCCCTAAAATTGTGGTGCTGCCTGTGGTGTTCCTCACGCTGCAGCAGCTGTGGGCAGTCCTGACTCTTGCTGAGGCAGACTGCAGCTTGTTAATGTGGTGAAGGACACTTAGGAAGGGGACTAGTGCCTTACATGAGAACTGCAGTGCTTTGCAAACATTCTGAGCAATGCCAAGTTAAAATCTGATAAGTAATTCTAAACAATTCTTATATCTTAAGATAAATAAAACAAGTGGCATCGTGGAAGCTTCCAGAATCTTGAACTTATATCAGTTCACTCAGCTTTACAAAGACATCACCAGTCAAGCAGCAGGAGTTCTTGCACAGAGTGACACTTCTGAAGAAGCTGCTGAGAGTTGGATGTCTGTGTCTTCCTGTCAGGCCAGCTTGTGGATGGGAAGGTATTTTGATACACTTTAGCTTCTGACTCCAGTTACAGCATAAGCATTTCGGGAGTTGTGCTTCAAACCTGAACTACAAACACACGCTGATGGGAGCTGCTCGCTCCTGGCAGCTGCAGGCTTTGTACCATCACAAACATGAGCAGACACCTTCCCTTGCACCAAGGGAGCTGCAGTGCACTTGGGTGAAATCCTGAAATATGGTGCTACCATACCTTGGCTTCAGAGCAGCCTTGTTGAGATCAGTTCTAATATAAACGTAGTATATGTTGAATCTCCTGAAAAAGGAAGCAGGAGGAAACGGAATCAGCTGCAAATCCAGGGGGTTTGACAGTGTTTGTTTAAATGGATTTTGTTATTGTTCCACTTAAACTTTTTCTTCCTCTTCCATTTTGGCATGTGAAAGTTCCCATCTGTTGCCACTAGAAACCCGTCAATTATGGTAATAATTGAACTTGTAAGAGTGGAAAAATGTGAACTGTTTCACTCGTGTTGACCTTCTGCTTTGTTAACCAGAGGGAAAACAAAAGACTGAGGTCAACACCTGCAATAACTTCAGCTCAAACTGAATGTAACAGTAAGAAGCCAATCACCCTTTCCCTGCGTGGAAGTGTTGCTGCTACCAGTAATGCCTTACTTTTCCTGAGTAAGTTCAGGGTTCTAACTCAGTTTAAAGTGAGGTAGGGATAGGTTTTACAAGAAAAGGTAGTAACTGGTAGAGTTCTCTGTGTTCACCAGTAAAGAGCTGGGCAGACAGGTATTTTAATGAAACAGCTCAAGTGTCACACTTTAGCTGTTGGAATGAAAAAGGGGTCACCAGTGCTGTCACTCCACAGAGTCCCCTGGTTTTTCTAAGTGGATTGCAGAAGTCAGTGTGGTTTTTAGTCAGTGGATTGCAGAAGGTATTATTTTCATTTTATTTAATGTCCTGTAAATTGTGAACATGTTTGAGAAAGAACAGGAAAATTACTTTCTCAAGGTTATACGATTTTCTGGAAATGGTCTTTTGCTTCAAACACACAAACCAAACAACATAGTCACTTATGCAAAACAACTTTATATATTGCTAAAGTCAATGAGGAAGATAAAAAGTTTTCTATGTGAGTTTCTTTTTCAGTTTTTCAGACCTGGAGACAGGGCAGATGAGTATCCTCCTTGGTTGTAAACTTCATCACTCGAGGCAGTATCAGTCACAAATAAAAACAGAGTACACTTAGCTGATATGATGCAGTTTGGTGAGCTTGTGTCTTAGCCAAGTTTTTCAAGTTACTGAGGAAAATACAGGCTGAAGCACCTTCAAGTATTCTAAACCAGGGAAATTTTCTGTGTATTTTTCTGTGATAACCACCCATTTACTTCAATTCTTCTTACCTGTAGGCATTTTTCAGCTCTGCAAAGTTAGCCCTCGCTATCTAAAAATAGCAAGTGTTATCTGTTTAATTCTTCTTAACTTTTTCCCCTAGAATAATACCCCATTTCTCTACAACATCCACTTCCTATTCAGAGCATGCAAAATATGCCTAAGTGGTTTATGCTTTCTGATAATGAAGAGATAGATAAGCATTTCCTTAGTCTGTCACTCCTTTATTTTACTGTTTCTTAGGAACTTAGTCCTGTGATTAAAGCTGACTTTGCAGAAACTTCATAAATAGGCCTTGTATAATTGCTTGTATAGACACCAGCAAATGCCAAAAATTCAAGAGCTCTTAAAGGTTAGTACCTTTAAGAATTGCATGGGGGAGGAAAATGAGAGGGAACAGGTCTAAAGAACACAGTGAGCAGACTTCTTGGAAGTTGTTGTCCTCATTGTATGCAAATTACCATCTGTAAAAAAAAAATAAATCTGTCATTTTAAAGTGATTTCTCCAAAAGCAAATTGAAAAGGAAGCCTCTATGACCTCCTGAAAGATAAAACAAAGGCATGCTGACTGCTGTTCAGTAGCTGGCTATTCTGTACAGTTCAAAAATGAATCTGTATTTGTCAAGCTCCCTTGGATGCCTTAGCAAAAATGGTCTGGTCAATAGTTATTAGGGTGGAGAGACTCCTGAAATGCCTTTTTTTTTTTTCTCAGAATGCTATCTCTGTCCCTCAGGTCAGAACAGGGATTCCCCAGTCAGGGCTTTTGGAAGACCCAAGCATTTTACAACACTTCCTTGGTTTAGGAGTGGGCTGTGACTATAAAATTGCAGACTTCATGTGTCTGGTTAGGCCAGTGAAAGCTGAGGATTCTCTGTGCCTTTTCACACTTGAGAAGTCTTGATGGTGCAAGTATTTGAGATACTCCTCCTGTTAAGAGCATTAGACACAGATATCTGTCATTTGGGGAAAAGATAGAAAATGTCAGCATCTGTCTTGGGTAGTGAGATATTTTTTAAACTTCCCCACCAACAGAAGCACCTGAGAGTTTAACTGGACAAGCTGTGGTAACATCTTGAGAGTCCTAATTTGAGCAGCAATCACATGGAGCATATTGCAAGCTAAAATCAGCCTTTTCAATCTAATGAGCAGTTATGCATTTTGATGGCATGTGAAATGAGTGAACGTGCATTCTGGTAGTGAACCTCTTGACATGCATGTTTTTGTCAAGGATATAAACCAGCGCACAGAAATTTGGCAAAGTTTATTATGAGCTAGTTCAGCCTGATGTGCAGTGACAGGAAGGCAGGTTCTTCTCCTGCCTTTAATGTAAACAGTGTTTCTGTTCTTCTGCCCAAGTCATGTGATACAAAGCAGTTACAGCTCCTCACACTTCCTTGTTGATAGGAAAAGGGATTTACAGAACCCTTGGCAACACCTAAAGCACCCGAGTCAAACACTAACACAAAAACCTGACACAATAAATAAATGCACATTCTGGTTTAGTTTAGCTCACTGCTGACATAGGCTGGGATGACATAAGTAGTCCATTCACAGATTAAATCACAAGTGTTTCTTTCTGGCCATCACTAATTATTATGAAAAATGTAGTAACTGGTGTAGTTACTGGGGCATAAATATCAAACATCTGGAAGAAAACAGTGTCTTCTCTTCTGCAGGGTAAAACAGCTGACAGATGAAGAGGAATGTTGCATCTGCATGGATGGCCGTGCTGATTTAATCCTGCCATGTGCTCACAGTTTCTGCCAGAAATGCATTGATAAATGGTAATATAGATGAAAGGATATTAATTATTTTATAGTATGCATGTTTCAGGTTGGCGTGACAGATTCTATGGTTGCCATATAATTTAATGTCTGAAGATATTTCCAAGCCAATGTACATAACATTATGTATATGATACATAACAAACTTGAGTAAAATCAGACTGAAGCAGAAAGAAAGCAGGAAATTTTGTAAAAAAGAGGTGTGAAAGTGCTGTGCAGCATTTGTTTTGTAATTTCTTACATCTTTTTATTCTTCTAAAATTGAATTGTTATAGTCTTGCTCAGAAACTTGAGAAGATGGTATATGCAGATATGCAGATACTGGTATGTTCTGCTTCACAAGATCTCATTCAAGGCTTGTTAACACTGTGCAAATATGAAGGCAAGTTAGACTTGGGAAATAACTGTCAGAGGGATTTTTTTCCATGTTATGCTTTCACTTCACATAAATAGCATACAATTTACTGATTTAAATATATCAGACTCTTCCAGAAAGGTATTTCTTCTCAATGGAAGCACCTTCAAATGTACATCTATGACGTGTAGCTTACAATGTTCAACTTCACAGTAACTTGAACACCTTTTCAGCTTCTGCATCTCTGATACACCAGTTCTCAGAAAAGTGGGAGAGAAAAATTCCTTTGTGGAGGAATACAGCTCTTGTCTGACCATGCAGGCCTTCAAGGATTAGGGAAGTATCCTGGTAGTCTGGCATTAGGAGACACAGACCTGCTCTTTTAAAAAAAGGGTTTTTTGGCTAGTTAATGCAAAGGGGTTTACACATAGTTTGTGCATAGGAATTTGTTTTGTGGCTTTTTGAAAGACTTACCAAGGAAGTTACTCTTGTAACAAACACCCAGGATTCCACAAGGGAAAAACAGTAAAAAAATCACTGGGTTGTAGAATACAGCAAGTCATTTCTCTCTTCTGGGAAAATATCCTAACATCAATCAGCAAGACAAGGCTTAGTTTAGTGACTGTTCTGGAGAGTGAATTATACGCTGCTTTGGCTGATGAATCAGCTGAACTCCTCACTAAGTTCCAGTTACACTATGCTTTTTTTTTGGTCTGTAATTTCTAAGGTTGATTTCCTGTTAATTTAGGCATAACAGAGGCCCCCAGCTCAAACATAAGTGTTTGGGACCCCTGAGATGGTGGAGGGGGTTGGGACTTGGAGGAACCATTTCTAAACTTCTGTGGACTGCATGGCCCAGGAAAAAGCTGCTTCTTCTCTTTATCTTGGAAGCCTATGGAGATTATTTTCTAAGGACCTCAGCTGAATTCCTGAAGATAGGAAGAATTAATTTAGACAGTGAATTTCCATTTAAACCTTCTGCCCAGGTAGCGAGATGCATCCTCTCTGACCTGAGCAAACAATTAGAAGGAACATGATTCCAAATTTTCATTCAAAGAATGGAGCTCTATTCAGAAGTATTCCTCACAAAGAAAGAAGTTTTTAAACAAAGAAAATAGATAGGTGGCCTAATCCAATTAATGCGATCATTCTTGAAGTTCTCACTGGTTTTTGTTTGGGTTTCGTTTGTCCATTTGGGGGCTCTTTTGGCTTTTTCTGGCCAGCAAGAGACCATCAGTGAAAACCACTCATTTCTGCCTTCCTAACAGGAGTGACCGCCACAGAAACTGTCCCGTGTGCCGCCGGCAGGTGACGGGGGCAGGAGACTCCTGGGTGGTGTCAGAGGCCCCTACAGAAGATGACATTGCCACTTACATCCTGAACATGGTGGATGAGGCGGGGCAGCCCCACAGACCCTGACCCTCCCCACCAGGCTGATCACGGCAGAACCACTTGAAGCTTTTGTTGTCCCCAGCGTCTGGATTTACCTCTCCTTGCCGTTCTTCCAGTCTGTCCTTTCCTTCTCCTCTTGGCTGCTGTGAGTCTGCACTGCTCTCCTGAAGCACAGGGTGTCTGAGCAAGTCTCTGTGTGTGCAGTCTTCGTTATTAAACAGTTCTATCAGCAAACTCTTTGATCATTAACACAGTTTACTTTAACAGCGGCGTTTGATATTAATTAACAGTTCAACTACTCGATGAAGCAACTTGTAACAGCACAACTACAGCTGCAAACTGCTGTTTGAGCATCACAGTGTACTGCTACAGAGTTGAACCATGGCAGATGGCTTGACCTCACAGTTCCTACCCTCCAAAGCAGTCCCTTATTCACAGCTAATGTGAATGAAGATGATGAGTTAGCATAGTGGTTATTAATTTGAAATTTTACTCTTGAAACTTGAAGATGTCCCACTGCCTGTTCTTCAGTAGGAAGTTATTGCTGCTCTTAGTGTTTACATATACTTAATCTGATTTGTTATGACTTTTAGTATTAATTGTTTTAAATCTGTTTTGGAGAGTGTAAGCACATCTGTAAATGTATTTGTGCACTTCCCCTTATTCTAACAAGACTTATCTCTTAGAATATTTTTTTAAATATGATATTTAGTATAGTCTTACTAGCTCGGAAACATGAAACCGTTTCATACACAATCCTAAAAGCAGTAAATCAGCTTCTCAGTAGTTTTTGATAAAGAAAAGCTAAAACTATTTCTAAACATTGGGCATATCTGAAGAGAATGCCTTTATTTGAATTAGCACTTAAGGTGTAGTTTAGTCTGATGCTGTGGTTTTATCTGCTTCTCTTGAGTTTCTGAAGTGATGAGATCAGAGTTAAAAGGTATATGAAGAGTTACAAGTGATAATCTAAGTAAGGGTGCTCTACTTTATATCTACAAGTGCAATATGCTTTTATGTAGCAGAGGGAAACTTCTTCAACAATAATGTGGCTTGGAGAGAGATGTGCATGTGACAGCTTGGAAAAGGGGTATCATAACTGGAGTGCAACAGTATTTTGTGTCTAGCAGAATAAAGTCTTTAAAGAGCTGAGTTTAGACAGTCTAAAATAGTATTCAGGAAACCCATCTTAAGCATCTTGTGCATAAATAGCATTATGGAAATGAATGGCTACTGTAGAGAATTAATTTATATATATATAAACAAATACTACTTTTTCTCACTCAGTAACCTCAAGTTAAAATATTCAAGTGTAGCATTTGGGGGAGGATCAGCATAAACCTTGCTTACTGTGAGACTGCATTTTTCCTTACCATACCTGTTAAAATTCCATGATGCCATAAGGCTTAAGTCCTTTTATCACAGACAGGTTCTGAACTAAAAGGCATGTGCACGTGTAGATATGCACATTTTGGTTATTTTTCTTAATTGGCTATAAAATAACTTAATTACATCAATTTGTTAAAGAATGTACATGGGAAATGGCACCCATTTGAGCTTGGCTTATGACACCATTGTCAAATTTGCCACAGGTTTTAAGCCAGAGAAGCAATGTACCCTTCATGTGTCTGTCATCTGAGAGCCAGTATTTTAGTGTGTAAATCTGTATTTAGCTATGGAAAAATCCTTTTATTAGGAGTGTATATAACTGAGATTTTTTTTTTTCCCTCCTCCTTTCTTAAGCCATTGATAGCAATGAGATATTCAGTAAATGTATGGAGTGTTTGGTTGCATAAAGGTGGTTATTGTTTGGGCTGGAAATTGTTACTGGCCCAGGATTTCCCATGAAAACATGTGCAAATATTCCTAATCATGCACCAGTTTGGTTTCTTTTTGCTTTTTTGAGCTTGCATTAGTCCATGTTCAGAACTTTCAAATAACCTTTGAATTTTTTAAACTTTTTATATCACTGGAACAGAAAGAACATCTAAATGAAAGCTTCAAGCTAACTTTATTTTTCAAGTACTTCAAGAATTATACTTCTGAACTGAGATTTTATAAGTTGACTTTCTGCTGAGAACTTACATGAACTTCTTAAAATGTAATTTTATAATGATGCAAACAGGTTATTAATTGCAGCATAATGGCAATTACAATATAAACTAATGCAAAAATTATTTAAATAGTGAAAAAGTAAACTTTTTATTCTGTACAGCTTTTTTAAATTAAGTTGCTGTAATTCACACTGCTGTGATGTAGGTACTGTAATGTGTGCCTTGTAAAATATATGTACTGTATGTTATATGGAGAAATAGATACTTTAACACTAAAAAACTAGTAATTTGGTACTGGTTGGTATTACTTAGTCTGAAGTGCAACATTTAGCAAACAATTTTGGAAAAGGAATCCATTGGCATGGACATGGCAATGAGTTCCAGAAGCTAGACCTTGAAAATGTGAATTACTGCAAATAGCTGTTGATGGGGCAGGGGGGGCATTAGAACAAATTAACTTGTGTTAAGTGAACATTTCTTACAGGTTTAATGTGAAATTGTAACTTAAACATTAGAGATGGTATTAATAGCTAAGAACATTCCACTATATTTAACTTTGTGTATGAATTGTGCAATAAAGTTACTTTGAAAGAAATGTCAGAGTTCTTTTAAGCTTAAGGAATCCTTGGCTTTAGTACCATTGAAGTCTGAAAACTGAGTTTTGATCCGAATACAATTGCACTGTACAGGTGGTTAAAAGTGTGGCAACTGTGGGTCAGAGCTCTCTTAAACTTTGAAGAGTTTAAGAATCAATAAGGTATTTAAGTATCAATTAATTAATTCTTATTAAATATCAATTAAGTATTTAAGTATCAATAAGGTACCTGAATGCAGCTCGCAAAAAAAAACAAACAACAAAAAACTGGCTCTAATTTGACCTCTTGTAGGTACACAAATAAACTGGAACATTCTGCAGTGATGGGAAAAATTAACTCCAATTCCTAGAGGACATATTGAGGAGCAGGTTTGTTCAGAGAAAGGATTTTTATTTTCAGAGAAGTGTGACACACTTTTTCCCCAAGTCATTTCATCATGTTTCTGATGGTATTTTAAAGTGTAAGAATGCTAAGGCTTGGGATATTTTTTTCTTAATTTTTCCTCATTTTAAGTAAGTATTGAGATATATAATTAATGTAACTGTTTCCTTTGTCTAGTTACTTGGCTTATCTGTTTGGATCTTTCGAAGCCAAGGCAGAAATGGGAGAGAAATTAATTAACAGATTAGGAAATTAGAATGGATAAAATGACCAGTTGTCAGGCAGAGCAGGACGTAGGTGTACCAGAGCAATTAGCAAACCTTTATATTCACTAGGTTTTAAGTTTAGGCACCATATCAATCAATCAATGTGATGGGCATGGTTCTTTTTTGTTGTGGGAAATGGTTTATTTACCTTCCTTATCTTTCCTTTCAAGAAAATTCTATACATAATTAGAAAGGTTTACTAATCCATGCTCTTTCCCTTTCTGGAAACCAGGGCAACCACTGAGGTCTCTGTGTTACAGGTTTGAACTGAGCTGTTCAGTCTCACCCTGTAGAGCTGTATGTGCCAAATCCATTATTTTTGGAAGGAACATGTTGGTTCTTTGTGCTTTGCATCCAGCTACATCCTGGAAGAACAGCCCTCTCAGGAAGCCCTAAGGATGTGTTTGATGTAAGTAGGAGCTGTATGTTAACTTGGCTGGCCTTAGTCCTTACACTGCATACACATCATGCTTTAATTTTGTATTCACACATTGTAATAGAAGTAATGTGACAGTAAGTATTTTCTTTGGGCTTCTGTTGTTAAGTCATCCTTGAAGATAACTTGCCAGAGGTTTTATCCTCACCTGTTTTAAGTGGGTGAACAGAATTCTGCTTTATGAGTATGACTTAAACATCAGTCATTTCAAAACTGAATTTTTGTTAACTGTCATTTCTTCAGATGCTTCTTTCCAAGGCCAAGAATTTATCATACAGCATTATTTTTTAAGGACTTAAAACTTATCCTGCTGGGATGTCACTGGAATTAGCCTGGATGGAGCTGTGTGCTTTTCCAGTGACCATAGTGTGGGATCATCAGGTAACATTTCGCTCTGAGCCAGCCAATGTTACATCCGTGAGGGATGGGACAGCACAAGATGTTAGTTAACAGATCTTTACTTACCTCACTAACCCATCAAAATTCAAATAGTAAACACTGGGCATGGGGTTTGTAGGCCTAATATTAAAAGTAATTACAAGTTTTTTGAACTTTGCACAGTGTGTGTCTGCTGGAACAAAGAATACAATCCAAGAGATGATGAAATGAGCATTCTTCTTTGGTTCTAAGTGCTATTTAAAAATGTTCCATGTTTTCAGAAAGTAAGCCTAAAGTATTTGGAAGCCTGCACCTCTGAAACGTGTAAGTGTAAGATGGTAGGAGGAGTTCAATGCAACAGTCTGTGCTTCCATGCTGATGTGGTTCTGACCCATTTTAACAGATCTTCAAAAACTACTTTTTATGTGAGGCAGTCCCTGTCTGTCATGGTGAATGATTAAAGAAGTGGTGGTGTTGGTGACCCGCTGTTATTCAGACTGTCTCAGGATTATACAGACTGTGCTGTTTAACAGTGTTTTGTGTTGAGTGCTTTGAGAGGCGTGGGGGAGAAATGCACATTTCTCAGTTACAGATGAACCTGTACTCCTGTGCTTCACCAGTGCTACTCACGTACAGTGTACTGAAAGAGATGATGTTTTCATCTTCACCTAAAAATCTTGACTCCTTTCCCTACTGAAGTGTTTTGTGTTCTGCTTTTCCTCAAAAGTCATGGTGATTGTAGGAGGAGTATCAACTGTGTTGATACTGTTTATTTAAATCTGTCACTTGTTGGCTTCTTAGTTGTGTTTTGTCAGATAAATCTGTTGTGTGTGCTCACGAGATCACAGTACACCTTGAGGGGGCCCTGAGGGGCAGGGCTGCTTTCCTGCTCCCAGCTTGGGTGTCTTGACTCTCAGCTCAAGATCCACACGAGGCTCCAGGATCAGCAAGAGCTGCTGCGTGCCCTGCACAGCTTGGATGAGCAGGGAAGCAGGGTGGGCACCCCGAGACAATGGGGGCAGCAATGCAATTTCACTTTCAGAGCTTGGTTTGCATTAATGTTGAATTATTTTAAGCCAGATAAGCCTTTAACCCCTTCTCCTAAATAGTGCTCGCTGTCTTCTCTGTCTCCACTGGGTTTTTTTTTAGTTTTCATGCTTTATTTAGGTTTAGTCCATTGAATTGCACGTGGTTTTAGTTCTCCTTAAATGTGGAGACTGGGAGGAGCTACAATTTTTTTGAGAGATATACAGACAAAATCCATAACCATATTCTTTTATAATTCATTCATTAGTGTAATGTTTAATGCTTCCACAAGAGGCAAAACATAAACATCATGTAACCCAGGCACAGAAAGAAAAAGCAGTTTTTACAGACACCTTTTCAGACTTGGATTTATAACTAGGCAAAGAGAACAGAAATGTTTAGCCACACATAAAGAACAATGATAGGAGACAATAACGTGGCTCTGGGCTGTGAAAAAAATACATATTCTCCAGTAGCAGAGCAAATGCCTTAAGTGTGCTAAAGTAACACAACAGAAAAGAATTGTTCAGGTAGATAGGTTGTAAACATCAAATAACCATAATGAACCATTTCAGGTTGAAAGTATAAAATGCTTTTGAACCAACAGATTTAAAGAAGCCTTGAATAATGTTTGAGCATCTCTCCTAGTGAACTAAAGAGAAATAAAGTAGGATGTTCTTCCATCCTGCAGCAGTGCTTACCCAGTTGCCACCTGCAGTGATGTTCTCCAGCCCCTGAGTCAAAGCAGCTGTGTTCTAACCAGGTTTGACCTCAGCAGAGTTGGGGGGATCAGCCCTGTCCTGTGTGTACAGCACTGACTTGTGCTGGATCTGTCTTTTCATTCCAGCCACAGCCTGAGCCCACAAGGTTACTCTGAACAGCCTCACATTAGCACAGAAGTGCAACTTGAAAAAAAAAAGAAAACAAAGCAAAGCTTAAGAACTGAACTTGGGAATCAGTAACATTTGCCCTATTAAAGGATGAATTAAAGATGCCAGGAGAAATGTAGCAGTGGAAACTTGAAAGGATGTCTGTTTTTATTTGTACAAATATAATACTATAAGCCAAATTTCCCCTTAAAAGCAGCGGACAAGAAAGCACAGAAAGCAGAACTTATGGTCATGACCATTTATGTGTTACTGTGGTTATTGTCAGAATCCCAATTACTGTCCTTTCACTGAATATGCAAACCCAGTTTTCTTTTTTTCAATAGCAGCTACAGACCTATTAGAACCTGAGGTAAGGAAAGCTGAAAAGGTATTAAATATATACACAAATTTGGTGTAATTTTAAGGAAACTAAAAAAGACGTGTAAGTGACAACAAAAGCAGCACTAATAATGATCTTCAGGTGAAACAACCCAAGTAAAGCAATGTTTATCAAATGGAAATACTTGAAATTGAAATTCTTCATACCAAGCATGTTGCTTATTTATCCTGGATGCCAATGTTTCTCCCAAATAATGTTATATTGGTAACATTAGTTTATTAGGAAGTTGTCCTGATGAAAACAAGATATTTGCATTTGATGCAGCTAAACAGCTTAAACCACTTTCTCAGACTTCATACTAAGCAAATGACACCAATCCTGAGACTGCATTCTATGAGCTGCTACAGTTCCTAACAGTGAGACTGACAAGGGCTGCTGACAGAACCTGGAACAATTTTACTCTTGTACAGCTGGGCAGCATAATGTGGTTTCACGTGATTTTTAGGGGTACAAGGAATACGAAATCTGGCACATTGCAGACATTAGGCTGGGGCACTGAAGAGCTGAAGTCGAATTCCCACCACCTGTCTGCAGCCCTGGGTTTGGATGAAAAGCTTCTGCAATCACTGCAGCTCCCTCTGCATGACACTGGCTAACTGTGATGGTGAGTGGATGGCCAGAACTCTCCCTCTTGTGCCTTGGATTCCCTTGGAGCAGCCTTAAATTCCAGGCTGCTTCCTGACATCTTTAGGTTTATCTCTTTCTCTTGGGGGGTTCTTGCAAAGCTGCACAGCTATAGGAAGTGACAAGGAATTCCTCCTTCCCCTACTTTAGTGCCATTTCCTTCCACCATCTCCATTCAGGACAGCAGAACATTAAAAAGGTGTCCTTGCAGGTATCTCTTGGAACTGCCACAGCCTGAGGAGAGAGTCTTCAATGCCTCTACACATTTATGCCATTAATGGATCCTGTGGTACTGGTGGTGTCACAACTTTTGGCTGCATTTGCAAGGGCACATGAGACCTGAAGAGCTCTTGGAAGAAAGGCTGTTGGTGCCCAAGCTCCAGGAGAAGGGCCTGGCCTAGGAAATACAAGTGGCACAAGATCTGACATCTGACTGAGCACAACATGCAGGGTTCAAGGTCAGGTGAACCCTGATGGGCCAGTATCAGTTATTGGCTTTTTCTGCATTAATGCTGAACACCTGTTTGAAGAAGCTCAGTGTCCCTAAGCAGGATATTAGAGAGCCAGGGGTCTAACCCTGGGCTCACATCCTGCCTCAGGCACTGCAGGCGTTTGAACTGAGCTGCTCTGCTGGACTCACAGGCATCCACAGCCTCTGCTGCCCCGGCCTTGAGTCTTTTTTGGTGTG